CCGCAGTGTGGAGACCTGGGCAGGCCTTGGGGTGGAGCTGACCCCTACAGTGGCTCAAGGCTGAGGGGCCGGGCACTGCCCTCTCCCTGCCCCTGTTACTCTGGTGCTTACTTCTGCACAGGCGCCTCAGGAGACAGTCCCGCCTGCCCGCCTTCATCCCCACCCCATGGCTGCCCGCAGTCACGCTGTCCCTTCCTGCCGCTGGCCAGTCAGAGCGGCTCAGGCCTGGCCCCGCAACCCCATCTGCTCTGGCGGCGCTGCGGGCCCAGCCTGGGGTCTGTGGCTGCTGGGCCTCGGGTCCCAGTGGGTGGGCAGGGCCCTTGTCAGTCCCTGACGCTGTCGGCTTCCTGTAGAGGGGCAGGCGTGGCGCTTGCGCAGGGGCAGCCCGAGGTGATGCGACCAAACGCACGCCCGCCCTCCCTGCCTGCCCGCACGTTGTCAGCACACTTCGTTGGTTGTTTTGTGCTCTGTACGGGAGGAAGAGGCTTCCTCTGTCCGTGCAGCAGCCGCGCGCAAAGCAGGCAGCGCACTTGGGAGTCTCGGGAGTGGCTGCCATGGGGACGAGTCGCCGTGGCTCACCAGGTCTCTCTGTGCACGGTCAGTCACTGCCCGCGCCTGCGTTGCTGCTGTGCAGAAGCTGTTCACATGCTTCACGTGTGCTCGCCGAGAGCCTCTCAGGTTCACGTCTGAGCTCGAGATTGAAAAAGCCAAACCCCAAATATAATGTGAAATAGGAACCAAAAGTGGCCACCCTGTTTTTGGTTATCTTCTCAAGCATGCAAAGGCCTTGAAATCCACCCAGCAGAAAGTGCCGGTTTCACTTGAGGCCTGAGTCAGACCTTGGTCCGCTCCAGGGACGAGGGCGTGGGTGTTGCTGGGATACAGGACGTCTTCAGGATGGCGTGGAGGTTGCAGTTTCGTCGTGAGCAGAAGGGATGCCCACAGCTGTCTGTCGCTGCGCCGCAGCAGCGGGCACCCCCACGAGCCGCAGCCCGGACCTGCCCTTCATGGGTCTGGAGCCAGGGCCCCGCCAAACGGGGGAAGGTTAGGGGGAAGCACCTCCACGAGCTTCTGTCGCCAAAGCTCCTCCCCTTCTGTGTCCCCTCCCCATGAGCAAGTCCTGCTGTTCTGAACCCAGCTTTGGGGCTCCGTGCTGACCTCCGCCCCCTCCGGAGTCGATGTTCTCTCGGGGTACCCAAGGCGCCCCCTGCCAGGTCTCTCCCCCAAGCCTCTGCTGCCCAGAGGGGGTGGCCCTGGGCGTGCGGGTGGCAGCAAGCACTGGGGAGCGGCTTCCCGGGACAAGGCTTATGCAGAGCTGGGTGTCCCGGGCCCCGGGAGAGCAGGGCAGGAGCGCCCGTGGGTGGGGCTCGCCCAGCCGCTTTCCATGCGCGGTGCCCTGACCACCGCCAGCCGGAGGCCCGGTAGTCGAGCCCAACACAGCCAGCCACAGACCGCTGAGCTGCTTCCCGTGGGTTTGTTGCTTTGTGGCTGGATTGCCTGTTTCTCAGGACTAGAAATTGATTCTGTTATTTTGTTCATTTCAACATTACCATCCGAAGGCGCGATTGACCGCACTGTCCTCTGTCCGCTGGCTCCTCGCGCCTGACCTTGAGCGCATCTTCCTCCTGAGACCCTGCGCTGCCCAGCACCCACCACAGGGACGCAGGTCCCCCTTCCCCGTGTGCCCCAGGCTGTGGCGGCCTCGCGCTGAGTTTCAGCTCCTGCACCGGGCAGCCTTGTCCCCCAGCACCTGATACTGCTGCCAGGGCTCATGACGCGGCTTGAAGACGCTGTGGTGGGTTTTGCTCCAGGCCCCGTGTGTCCCCACAGGCCTTGCCCGAGGGGGCTGAGGTGTGTGGCCCCCCCCCGCCCCGGGGGCCCTCTGGAGAGCCGGCCTCTGCCCTGGCGACACCTACCCCTCCGCGTCCTGGGCTGTCCAGGAAAGGACTGTGCAGGTTGGACATGGGCTCCTGGCTTGCTGGGGTGTGGGTCAGCATTTCTCTGGGCACTTTGACTTGCTGTAGGTCCGTTCTAGGCCAGCCACCAGGACTCTGCCTTGGGCCCTGGACCCGTGGGTGGGCAGTGCTCACCGTGGAGGGGCTGGGCCCAGTGCCCATCCCACTCTGCCGGTGTCCAGAGACGGGCCCTGTGTGGTTCAGCCAGGATGCGTAAGCTGTGTGCACCCTTCCGCCCACCCCCGTGTCTCTGGATAAGTGGCTTTCCTCCGTGAACCCCTCACGCCATCCGTAGTGAAGCCGTTTATTGTCACGAGGCTGCTCCAGGGTCAGGCAAGGTCATCGGGGTTGCGTTTCATGGAGGCGACACCCTGTCTGTTTTATTTCATTTTCTCTAAACAGAACAACTTTGGTAACATCAACATCATATCGGAATTCAAAATATGCCTTTGTTCTTTCAAATGTGCGACTAAGAGGTCTCTTGGCAGGTGTCAGGTCTTCAGTACAGCCAGACTCGGGTGGGTGGCCCCGCGGCTCCGTCTGGTTTCTGGGCAGGAGCAGCCACGGGGTGTCTGTGCCGGCTCGCGGCTGTCGGCGTTCCCGCGCTGGGGTGGTAGGCAGTGGCACGCACGCAGCCGTCCTGCTTTTCCCAGCCTGTTTTTAGGGCAAGGTCTTGGACATGGATTGCTGGTTTTGTTTCAGGGCAGGAAGAGGGGCACCCCAGCACCTCCGAGCCTGGCTTCTGGGGTTCTAAATAGGTTTTGCCGTTTGCTGCATCAAGACAGAACATACTCTAGTGTGCGAGCCCATCACGGGAAGGGGCTTCGGCACCGTCGCTGTGGGGCCCGGCGAGGGGAAGAAGAGAGTCTCCAAATCCAGCGCCGGGAGTCGCCCCTCCCCTCCCGGGGCCGTGTCCAGCCCCACAGGGGTGGCCCAGAGCAGGGCCGCGGGGCCCGCAGCCGGCCGGTCTCGGCCCGCCCCGGCGGGACCCGTGGCGGAGGGTGAGAACAGACAAGTCTGGGAGGAAAAGAGCAACATCAAAACCACCCTAACCGCGGCCCCGTCCCCTGCCCCGGGCTCACCCCCGTGGGTCCCGGCCCGTCCGGGACCAGGAAGCCGGAGTGGCCTGGCCACAGGCCTCTGCTCCTGGGCTCCCCGGCTCCTCCCGCCCCTCCCTCCTTCCCCGCCTCCCCCCGGCTTCTCCTCCCCGCTCAGCTCACCCTCCTTGGGTGGGGCGGGGACCTGGAACCCACTTTCCCCGGGCACCCCCGTTGCAGTTTGGGGTGGACGCTGTGGCCCTCATTAGCTTCCCTCCCCGGGGAGTTGCGATTTCCTCCCTGATCCCGCCTGTCAGGGCTCCCATGAGGCGCGCCCTCGGGCGGCGTTGCAGGCCAGGGCCCTGAGGCCAGCGGCCGAACAGCCTGGACAACAGCTTGGACATCCCAGCTTCCCACCTCAGCCCCGGCGTCCAGACGCACAGGTCGCTCCAAAGCGCGGCCTTGGGGCTGTCACCTGGCTCTAGTCACCCTGCCTTTTGCGCTGCCCGTGGCAGGGGTACCCGGCCCCAGAGAGCGCACAGGCCATCAGCACAGGCCTGGTGCCACCTGTGCTGGGAGCCGGCCTGTCCTGCCCGTGGCCTCCTGCCACGCTGGGGTGTGCTTGGGTGGGCGGGACACGGGCGGGCGGGCGCTGCACTCGTCTTCTGCGCGGGTGTGAGTTGGTAGCTGAGAAGAGGCCGAGAGGAAGTGGGGAAAGGCGAGTGGGAATGCAAGGGCGCATCTGCGCTTAGGGCCGGAGTTATTTTGGTCAAGCTCAGCAGGTGCGATGAAAATGCACGTGACGAGTGGAGGGGTTCAGCACCCTCTGCCCTCCGGGGTGACTGTGTCGGCCAGGAGGTCCCAGCCCGGTGGGCGGACGAGGCTCCCCGTGGTTACAGTGGCGCCTGGACTGAGGAGGGTTGGAAGGGGAGACTCGCCGCGCCACAGCTTCATCCTGCTGCGCCCGGGCGCTGCAGACAAGCAGCACAGAAGGTGCTGGTCCCGCCGCCCAGCTCAGTGCCTGGCCTGGGGTCGCGTCCTCCACGGAGGCCCTGGGCACGCAGGTCACAGCCACGGAGGCACAGCCTCAGCCCCCGTGAGCACGGCGGGCCCCTCCTGTCATGGCCTTTGCCTTCTCGCAGTCGGTTTCCCCACCTCTCAGCCCTCTTGCCTCGGGAGGTCTCCCTCCTTTGGTGTTGTCCCAGCGCGACGTCAAGCTCCATCTAGAAAACCCGCCTCCTCTCACTGCGGCACGCGCTGGGGCCAGACCGGCTGAAGCGCGGCCCGTGGCGGTGTGTGAATGCGGGCCCGATGGGCCTGGCTGCCCGCCCTGCCCAGGGACCACTGTGGTTGGGCCCCCCTCTGTGGGTCTTCTCAGGACCCAGCACAGAAGCCGGCTGGTTCTGACACTGCGTCCTGGGGTGGCACTGCCCTCGGGACAGCAGCCCCTCTCCACCCCTCCCAGCCAAGCCTCTGTGGGCCTGGCTCCCGGGGAAGCCGGTGCCCTGTGCCCCGCATGTGTAGCGGAGCCACCCGGGGCCTTGTTGTGGTCTGGAGCGCGCTGGCAGGCCGCCAGTGGCCGCTGGCCTGGCCAGGAGGCTGGAGGCCCCGGTGCTGTGTGCATCTCCCTGGCAGCAAAGATGCTTCTTACCTTGGGTGGAGCAGCTTTGCTCTGCCTCCAGCCCCTCCCTCTGTGGGTGCGGCCCTGTGGCAGCTGTAGGGGGGAGAAGAGCGGGAAGGGGAGGAGTCTGGCTTCTGCAGTTCCCGGGCCTCAAGCGCAGGAAGGAAAAGCCTTCTGTGGAGGAGCCATTGTCTACTCTTGGTGGGGCGGTCCAGTGGCTGCCCTGAGCCTGGAGCAGTCCTGGGCCTTGGTAAACTGAGGTTCCCGGTGTTGGGGTGGGGCGCCCTTAGGGCCTGGGTGAACTGGACCCCAGCCGGAGGCTGCAGCCGCCCCGCGCTCACGCTCAAGCTCACGCAGCCGGGCTAATAGCCGCTGTTTCTGTCCTAGGTTCACTTCCCCGACACCGAGAGAGCGGAATGGCTGAATAAGGTAATGCGCTGGGGTGGGGGGTGGGGGGGCGCCATGTCTGGGACGTGGGTCTGGCACGTGGGCTGAGCGGCTGCTCCCAAGGCGGCTCGGCTATGCCCGGCTGTGCTTCCCTCCCCTGAAGAGAAGGAGTCCTGGGCGCGTGGGGGCTGCCCCTGGGTGCGTGGGCCGCCGTCTTCTGTCCTAGCCCGCTGTCGGCCCCGCACGCCGCTGTCCGCGGCCCCGAGGCCCAGTGACAGGCTGCTCATCTCCAACGGGGCTGCCATGTTGCGTGCTCCGAGCGCCTTTCTTCTGCGCTTGCTGTGTCTCAGGGCTTAGAGCAAGCCTGGCCAGGCCTCCCTGCAGCTCTGGGCAAGCGGTGAGAGGCTCGCCCGGGTCTCCAAGCCGGGTCAGGGAGGACACTCAGCGGATCAGGCCACAGGCTTCCTGGTTTTTCTAAGCCGTGGCTGCGTGTGCCGATGCGTTTAGACGGAATGTCTGACCAGAAAAGCTGACCCCTGCAGCTACTTGCCAGCACTTTTTATTACACAGGTTTTAGATTGAGTTTGCAAAACCAAAAGGACCCCTTGGTTTTCAGAAGTTCCGGCAAGCTCCGGGGCACGATGTCCGTGACGGCGCAAGTACTGTGGGCTGTGACGCTCTCTTGACACCCGTTCTCTCTCCTCTTCAGACCGTGAAGCACATGTGGCCTTTCATTTGCCAATTTATAGAGAAGTTGTTTCGAGAAACCATCGAGCCCGCTGTGCGGGGTGCAAACACCCACCTCAGTACCTTCAGCTTCAGCAAGGTGGATGTGGGGCAGCAGGTCAGTTTCCTCGGTCCTTACCGTCCACAGGCTTTCAAGCCATGACCTTTCTTCTGGCTACTGCAGGTCACCCTGAGGGGGTCCCCTGGGAAGGTGCAGGCCCTCCCGCTCCGTCCCTGGGCGCTGCTTCTGCTCTGCCCTCCTCCCCGCTCTGGCCTCAGCCTTCCTTGAGGGCCGAGAGGCTGCTCAGCCTCAGGTCTCCAGTGCCGGCTCAGGCCTCTCCTCCGCCCTGCGTGGCAGCTTGCGCTTCAGCATCTGTAACCTGCCCAGACACCAGGTGCGTGCAGGCCAGGCCCAGCGGGAGGGCGCCAGCCCCCGGGGCAGCAGATGAGCCTCCCCTACAAACCACTGCTCGCCTCTGAGGGCAGGGCTTGCGGACGAAGCTGCGCGGAGCAGTGGTCTGTAGCCCGGGTCTTCGCTTGAGGGGCAGAGCCCACGTAAGGGAGTTACGACGGCTAGGAGCCAAGCAGCTGCCGTCGCCCCTCTGCACAGTCATTTGTTTCTTTTTTTTTTATTATTATTTTTCTATTCCCCATACGAGTGCAACCCCCTGATTTTGACCCCAATTCCTCCTTTCCCCCCTCCCCCAAAGTGTGTCTCTGGTTCATAGTTGTTTGTTGATTTTGATTTTTTTCTTTCTTATAGTTACTCTTTTTCCTGGTCCCTTATGAGTCATTTGTTTCTTGACCTAAGGCCATGGATCAGGTGTTGAAATCTTACCCAAACAGGAATTTCTGATTCACTCAAAAGCCCCATTTTTGTGGAAATCTTAGGAATGGAAAATGACCAGACAGAAAAATGGAAAGTGGTTGCGTTTCAGACGTGGCAGTGGGTGCAGAGGTGGGAAAGGGCCAGGCTTGGGCGAGGAGCCTGGGCTTGGAGGAAAGCAGGGGGTGCCACAGCAGGATGCCCCCCCCCTCCACTGTGAGTCTCAGCAGACCACCCCCCCCAGCTGGGCCCTGCCCGCCGGAGCTGAAGCTCAGGCACGTCTTGTTTCAGCCCCTCAGGATCAACGGCGTCAAGGTGTATACTGAAAACGTGGACAAGAGGCAGATTATTTTGGACCTTCAGATCAGGTAAGTTTTTGTTGTACGTTTATTTCCTGCGAATGGAGCATAAATCACTTCGCTCTAAGGTGCAGGTTGCCAGAGCATGTTCTTGCTGCAGTTGGGCAGAATCTGACCAAATCCTCGTTGGAGACCTAATGTCGCTCAGCTCTGGGGCTTGACTGTAACATTTTCCTCGCTAGTTGCCACCCATAAGCAGGTCACACAGGATCAGCGAAAGCCTTACAAACAATCTTCAGATCCTATCCCTTATACACTCTGGCGCAGAAGTCCTCGGCAGCCCTAGCAAGCCGCGCCAACACAGCAGCATGTTACATGGGATCCTGTGCCCATGATCGAGTGGAAAGCAGGGTGGAAAGTCAGAGTAACGCAGCCGTCAGCAGAGCACACGGCCGTCTCAGGGACGTGGAAGCATGTCTGCCCAGATGACCTCTCTTCACGGAGACGCCCCAGGCCCGGAGCAGGAGGAGGCGCCTCCACACAAGAAAAGGCAAACAGGACCACTGCGGCGCCACCCCCGGGGCGAAGGCCCAATCGCCGCCCCACAGCTCAGGAACAGGGAGGGTATCTGCTTCCACCAGCGGTCAGCACGGCCCTGGCCGTCTTGGGCAGGGCAGTCAGGCAGGAAGAAGAAATGAAGCGTCCAGGTTGGAGAGGAAGACAAAGCTCTCTGTTCCCAGACAGTGCAATCGTATACACAGACAACCCTGAGGCTTCACGGGAAACCTCCTAGATCTGCTCAGCAGAGCAGCACGGTACAGAGTCAGCACCCAGATCAGCTGCCCCCCTCTCCTCGAGAGGGGGTCACCCACCAGGGCCCAGCACTGCCGCTCATTTCCAGCGGGCCCGGAGGAGGAGACCTAATAGGTGCAGGGCTGGCGCGGCTGAGACGTCGGCATTGCTGAGGCTCAGGGGGAGGCTCAGGAGCGAGCCCCGTCCCATGGGCTTGGCACCATTGAGATGTCACTTCCAGGAGGTCTGTGTGATCACATGACCGGTAGGGTCACTGTCTAGAATGCTGAGAGAATGCCTAACCCCAGCAACAAACAGAACGGCCTGACTCAAAAGTGGGCCAGAAGCTTCATGGACATCTCTCCAAGGAAGACGCGTGCAGGACAGTAAGCCATCGAGGGGTCCCAGCGCCTCGCGTGTCAGGGCTGCACATCCAACCACGGCCATCTGCAGCCTCGCGCTTCTGGTGGCTGCCCCGGAAACCAGACATGGCGGCCATCAGCTCGCGCGGGAGTCAGAGCTGGCACACTGCTGGTGGTGCAGGTGGGGCAGCTGCTGGCGGTGGTGGCATGGCCCTTCCTCAAAGCCTTAAAACTTCCAGGTGAGGACCTCCCCAGTGGCGCAGCGGTTGAGCTCTGGGTTGTGAAGCTGCCCGCAGCCTCTGCAGCGCCGGTTCGATCCCCGGCTGCTCCCCGGCCACTGGAGGAGGGTCCCGCATGGCGCACAGACCTCTCCTGCCGCCCGCTGCTCCCCTCAGCGCACTTCGGTCCTTCTGCCTGCTCTGCTCCCCGCTCTGGCTCTGGTGAATTCTCTCACCCTCCCGCGCTTCTGACTGTACCCAGTGCTTATATGCAGAAATCAATCAATCAATCAATCTTAAAAAAATAAAATAAAAAAATATATATTAAAAAAAAAACTTCCAGGTGACCCAGCGCTCCCACCTCTGGGAGTGACCCAGAGAACTAAAAGCAGGGCCTAGGAGAGATATTTGTAGAACCAGGTTCATAGCAGCATTGTTCACAGCAGCCAGATGGCAGAAGCAGCCAGCGTCCCTGACAGACGGGCGCATGGAATGTGGTGGCCCTGTCCTGGCGTCTCGCTTGGCCTTTAGCGGGGGGGTCCGGCATTTGCTTGAGGACGTTTTTCTGAGTGAAGCAGGCCAGTCGCAAAGACAGGCTCTGATGACCCACTTGTGCGAGGCACTGGAGCTGCGGTTCAGAGGAGCAGACAGGGCCTGGGCTGGGGTGGGGTGGGCGGGGTGGTCTTAGCTTTGCTGGGTGAGAGGAGCTCACGCAGTGGCACGAGTGGGTGTGGTGCCGTGCGCCTGCCTTCCCGGATGCTCAGGGTAGTCTGCTGCATGTTACATGCATTTACCATGATTTTTTTTTTTTTAAGATTTATTTATTTATGGGTCTCCCTGGTGGTGCAGTGGGTTGAGCGCAGCACTGTGAAGCTGTCTGCAGCCTCTGCAGCGCGGGTTTGATTCCCTGCTGGCCAGGGAGAAACCTATAGGGTGCGGCAGACCTCTCCTGTCTTGCCCACTGCTCCCCTCAGCAGTGTCTTTGGTCTGTCTGCCTGTACCGCTCCCCACTCTGTCTGTGGTGAATTCTCTCACCCTCCCATGCCTCTGACTGTACCCCAGTTCTTGTATAAATAAATAAATCTTTAAAAAAAAGATTTAAGCATACAACAGCTGGGGTACAGGCCAGAGATGTCGGGGGTGAGAGGATTCACCAGCGACAGAGTGGGGAACAGAACAGGCAAATTCACTGAAATACACTGCTGCGGGGAGCAGTGGGGAGACAGGACAGGTCTGCCTCGCCATGTGGGTTGCTCCCTGGATGCTGGGGATGGAATTCATGCTGCAGAGGCTGCTGATTACTTCATAGTGCGGTGCTTAACCCCTTGCGCCACCAGGGAGGCCCCTTACCACAATCTCTTAGAAATAAATATAGGAAACATCTTCCCGGTGGTTTCTTTAATTCTTATGCTGGTTCTTCAGGTACCTTTTTTAATCCTTGACCAAGGATTGTTTTATTTTCATAACATCATTGATTTTCTGCAGACTCGGGACACGGTAGATGTAGGGCTGGGACCTGTCACCTTCATTTCCTAGCGATCGAACATGGGAGAAGGCACAACTTCCACAACTTCGGCAAATGTTGTCCTTGAGGAGCCAGAGAGGACCTTGGGCCTGACATCGGCAGGGCTGCCCAAGGCCGCCAGAGGGTCTCGTGAGGAGCCTTGCAGCCCAACCGAGATGCGGCGGCATCTCGTGACTCTGTCTACACCAGAACCGTCGCTAGGTTGTTAGCGGCAGAAATGGAAAAGGAGCAATAGAAAGAAAATGACAACATCAACTGGTCAAGTCTTAGGGTGAAGAAGAGAAAAGTTTCAGGATGGCTTTATAACAAGTTACTCGTGATCTCACCAGCCGGGTAGAGCACCATCTCGGTGACAAAAATAATAGCCCGATGCAACACACAGCACTAGACCCTTGGAAGGGTCTCGTCCCAGGTGCCTTTTATTAATGCTTTGCTCATCTGTTGAGATGCTCTGTCCAGAGTTTAACAGGCTGCCGGGAAGTTCTGCGCCAGGACTGAGGCGTCCTGAGGAGGGGTCAACGCACAGGACCCACCAGAGTGGAGCTGATGCGCCATGCCTATCGTGGGGATGAACGCACGCCTGTGCTCATGTTGCCATGCCTGGTCCCTGGGGCAGGCAGATGCCTCTCGGCTTTGAGAGAGGTTCACGCAGGCCAGAGAAAAAGCGTCCCTCCCCACCAGGGCAGTGGGCATGGAAGTCACTGTGCTTTAAGAGATAAACGTTGTAAAACAGCATAGTTGCTTATCAAACCAGTGAGAAGTGCGCTCCACCAGGGCCTGCCAGAGACTAGCCTGGGCCCCTTGCTGAGAAGTGGACAGAGGCCATGTCTGGAGTGGCGGCCTCCCGCGGGGCTTCGTATCCTTTTACTCACCGCATGCCTTGCAGGTGTCTGTGGGTGAGAGAATGTAATTCAGATCCTTTTCTTTACAGTTTTGTAGGAAACTGTGAGATTGATCTGGAAATCAAGCGATATTTCTGCAGAGCTGGTGTGCAGAGTATACAGGTGAGTTGTAAATTTCACTGGCTGCTGAGATTCTCTGCTGTATCCAGAAAGAAAATGCCGTTTTATTCGCTCTATGTCTGTGCGGTGAGGTCTCTGCTTGTAGACCATGCTGAGAGCTGGGGCAGCCGCGCACCGCTCTGCCGGGGTGCTCAGGGCTGCTCTGTGCCAAGTGTGGTTCTGTTTGGATCTAGGTGCACGGGACGATGCGGGTGATCCTGGAGCCACTGATCGGGGACATGCCGCTGGTGGGCGCGTTGTCTCTCTTCTTCCTGCGGAAGCCGGTAAGTCCCACAACTTCGTTCTTGCGGGTCCTGGAGGAGCAGAAAGTGGAGACGCGGAGCCCTTGGCCCATGTCCTCGTGCTTCTTCACGCCTTTATTTCTTGATACGCAACTTTCCTCTCTGATTTTAAAAATAATACATTCATTACAGAAAATTTGAAGACATAGACTATTTTAAAAGTGCAGGTTTCGCTAGGTGACTGGTAGACACAAGCCACTGCTCTGCCGCTGCCCCCCTAAACGTGAGTCTCCGAGCTCTGTTCGCTCTGGCGCAGTCCAGGCTCCCAGCTCCAGCAGGTCTGGGCGTCTGCGTGGAGACCAGCCCCGGTGACACAGGCTGCTCTTCCTGTGCGGGGCTCCCCCGAGCCCTCCCCCAGCCCTAACCAGCTGCCTGCATGCAGGTGTTGCCTTCCTGCCCAGGGTTGATGAGCTGCACCACAGCTGGATGCTGATTTTAAGTCATAAAGAGCTTTTTTTACTGAATAATATTCTAACACTTGGATAAACCATAATAAATGTTAGTGTTTCACATTGTAAGATATGTCTGCTATTCCAATGTTTGTTACAAGTAGCCAACATTCATTATTGGCCACAAAAATTAGACCAACAAAAATGTCATTCCTACCGTGGCGCCACCAAGGCTGGCTCGTCCTCCCAGGGCTGTCTCCTCCTCCTTTGGCTCCTCAGCTGCTGGCTTCCTGCCTTGGCTCTGTCCTCAGCAGGCTTCATGCTTAGGATACTGTTCCCACCAGGTCTTCTGTCCTTGCTGACAGGATCCTGGGGTCTAGAGGGATCTCTCTCTAGCCTCATTTCCCAGCACCGTCCCGTGAGTACCCAGGCTAGCCAGAGGGACAATGATGGTCACCTACCCCCACACCACCCTCCCAGATGCCTTGGGGCGTCTCTTCCTGCAGGAGGCATCTTGTACACCGCCCCCCCTTGCCCTCCACCTACTGTAAAGCCTGAAAACCACCCCCATGTCTGTCTCCAGACCACTCTGTGGCATCTGATGCACAAATTGATCTGTTTCTCAGATCTCTCTTCACGACCAGTTTATAACCCTTGACAAATTCTTTCTGGAAGCACCATTAGCATCATGTGTAGTTTTAAGTGGGAATGTTAATTTGTATAACTCAATACAGATAACTTAATGCAAATTACTGTGGTTGGAGTTTGAGAGTGTAGGTTTATCCAGCTGAAACTGTATAAAAACACAGAAGGATTGTTACCATTTTCTGTTACCATCAAAATTATTGCTCTCATTTGTTGTTTTTATTGCTTAAGTTATAGGCTTATTTTGAAAGTATTTTAACCACACAAAACATGATAAAATTCCAAAGCTGTTAAGGAACCTCTTTGTTAACATTTTGAGAAAAGAAGCAGCTCATGAAAGCTGTAAATCCACGTTTTTCTTGTGCACACAAGAGGCGCTGGATGCCCGCACGTTCAAGGAGCTGCCTTCGCTGACAAGCGTGAAAACCTGATCTTTAGCAAATTGCTAAGTATTGTGAATTTACAGGGAATTTTTGACACTTTAAAGAGAGACCTTTTTTTTTATTTTTAGTCCAAAATATAATGAAATCCTAATCTTTAAATCTTCCTCAAAAGTTAATGGTATTTGGGCCTCCCCTGGTGGCGCAGTGGTTGAGCACTAGGCTGCGAAGCTGCCCACAGGCTCTGCAGCACGGGTTCAATCCCCGGCCACCGGCGAGGGTCCCACATGGTGCGACAGACCTCTCCTGCCGCCCGCTGCTCCCCTCAGCAGTGTATTTCATCAGTCTGCCTGTTCTATTCCCTGCTCTGGCTCTGGTGAATTCTCTCACCCTCCCATGCTTCTGACTGTACCCAGTGCTTGTATAAATAAATAAATAAATCTTTAAAAAAAAAAAAAGTTAGTGGTACTCTGTTGGTTTGGATCTCCCATAGGCGTGTTTACTTTTAAAGTTTATAATAACTATTTCAAGTGAAATGTCAGTGCTCAGAAAAGGACGGTCCTATGAACAATCCAGAATCATTCATTTCCTTATTTGGTCAATACAGACGCTTCAGAGAGCAGGGAGTTTTTTCCCATTACTTTCAGCTGGAAAATATGAGGCCAGCATGGCTGCCAAGTCATTCTTCCTCGCTCCCCAGCGCGGGCTGCGCCTGCAGGGGCGGGGCGACTGTTCTGATGACTCAGGACTAGCACCGAGACCCTCACAGAGCCACCACACATGTCCTGCTGGTTGATTATGTTGCTAGCTTGGACAAGGTGCTGCTTGTTTAACAAAACTGAACAGGGAGAAGGTGGGTGTGGTGAAGGGACTGTCCTCCCTGGCTGTGTATGCCGCTTGGCTTCTCCTGGCCTCCGTTTCCCCATCTGTCACCAGGCTGCGGCGATGCCCACCTCACGGGACGAGAGGTCCATGATGACTGCTGGATCAGTGCACGCCTACCTGTGGGAGGCCCTGGCCAGGTGCTATGGACGCGTCCCAGGAGCTCATGGCCACTCAGGCTGCCTGGACAGCTGTCGGGTGTGCTGCCCTTGGGGGCATTTCAGAATCTGTAGGGCATCTTTGGGTTTGTCCCAAGAGCAGATCAGACTTGCAGGACTTCTCCAGGATGCGCACGGCTCATTGTGAGGTGTTTCCCGGACGCCTCCACCAGCTGAGGCCTTGAGCCAGAGCTGGCTTTTCTGTCTTGCATTCAAGTCACTTCTCTCCAAAATCCCACCGAGTTCTGTCCTCCACTCACCGGCTCCTGCTGTCCAGCCTCTCTGCACGTAGTGGCAGGCAGGTTCCCCTCGCCCAGACAAGGGCTACTGCAGGCTCCACCCTCTTGGTCAGGCCCCTCCAATGACCTACCTCCGAGAGGCCTCCCTAATCTCCGGGGCTCCTCGCTCTGTCTGTGCAGCAGGGCCCAGGCCTGAAGGCAGCTGTTTTCTCAGCACCCCAGTTCCTCTTAGTGGATATGTATTCCAAGGCCATATTTGGGGTGCTGAGGCAGAGCTGGCTCCTGGGTGTCCTTGCTTCTAGGCCTGTTCTTTAAAGGGGGAGGGGGCATGCCCTCATCATCTTGCAGTCCCATTCAGAACCACGTAGGCTTCCTCCTTGACTCTTGTATTTGCATCCCGTTCCTCTTGTGCTGTAACAACTCAAGTCTTTCTGTGCTTTTAAAATTAGTCGCTTTTTTGGGCCTCCCCGGTGGCGCAGCGTTTGAGCGCTGGGTTGCGAGGCTGCCCGAAGCCTCTGCAGCGCCGGTTCGATCCCCGGCTACCGGGTGAGGGTCCCACATGGCGCGCAGACCTCTCCTGCCGCCCGCTGCTCCCCTCAGCAGTATATTTCGTCAGTCTGCCTGTTCTGTTTCCCGCTCTGGCGAATTCTCTCACCCTCCCGCGCTTCTGACTATACGCAGTGCTTGTATAAATAAATAAATAAATAAATCTTTAAAAAAAAAAGTCGCTTTTTAGTCTGGGTGTGTCCGAGGCATCTTGACTGTTTCTAGTTCATATTTGTTTGGAATTGAGGTAGGAGGGCAGTTGAGATCTTGCACTTTCCTTAGCATTTCTCCTAAAAACAGCACAAGTCGTTGTGTGAAGTGCTCGGTTGAGAGGAAACCGTGAAGTGCTTGGATTTGATCAGGAGTTTGGTCTGCGTCCTCTTCATGGGAGCTTGGCTTGTTGTGTAGGAAATGATCGCAGATGAATACCCACCAGAGAAATGGGCAAGAAAATATGCTAGCTGGGTTGGCTTTCGTCTCAGGCCTTTCAGTGGGAACATAAGTCAGCACATTAACTTTTTATAGGACAGTGAGGCAGTGTTGATAAGAATAAGCATGTCTTTGACCACAACTTCCACTTGTGAGTGTTAGCACATGCGTGCAAGACCACTGGTGGAAAAGTGGTCACCGAATCATCGCTGACAACAAAAGAAAAATTATCAACACTCGAAGGACCTGTCAGTAGGATGGGTGAGTGGATTGTTCCGTGATTTTGCGAGGAAAATCCATGTAATTATTAAAAACATAAAACAGGCAGCTTTCCATGTACCAGTTAGGCAAGATGGACTTGGTGTTTTTATACAGTGGAAAATGAAGTTGGCCGCTCTCGTGTGCTAACTCATGCCGTTTATGCAGAAGGAAGCCTGTGTGCTTAATTCAGTGACTGGAACTGTGTTATTAATGTCCCCTCCCCCTCTTAAACAGCTTTTAGAAATTAACTGGACGGGACTGACGAATCTTCTCGATATCCCTGGATTGAAGTAAGTACCGCCTGGCCCAGGCATCGTTAGCTCCCTTCCTCCTCGGCAGGGCAGGGGCTATACAGTTCAGGGGTGACAGGCCGAGACCCCTGAGCTGAGGTCAGCGGCTTTGGGATGTCACACCGAGCTGCATGGTCACTTTCCGGCCATCATGTGGCAACTTCTGGCTTTGGTGTTTTGGAGAAACGGCAGCCCTTTAGTTCCCTGTAGATTTTCAAGTTTGGATTTTATTATTTTCCCAGAAGAATAAAGCTTTAATGTGAATATGTTTCAGAACTAGCCCTTTCTGGGTTCTTTCCACGTGGTCCCCCACATACCTTTTGGGCTTTCCTGGGCCTCCTGGAGGGGACCAGGCTGGGCAGGAGTTTCCCATATCTCTGTGAGTCCCTTTGGTGTTCTGTAAAAATCTAGTCCGTGGGAAATCTCCCACAAAGAGCGTGTAAGCCGTGAGGCCACCCCCTGCCAAGAGGCGGGTCGCACCCCACCATCTGCGGCCTCCGACTCCACCGAGCGACTTCTGGGTCACGACGGGAGCCAGCCCTGGGGCCGCTGTCGTGTCCAGGCAGGTGCCCCACGTGCAGTCAGGGACAGCCTCCCGGCATACTGTTCCTCTCGGGCCCCTCTTCCTGACGGGGCCAGGTCACATCATGGGGACTCAGCCGTTACGTGGGGACACTGAGCTGCGCATTCACTGGGAAGCTGAGCAGAAACTACAGGTGTCGGCTGCTTGGCTGGCATGCCAAGTCTCGGGGTTTGGGTCTGATTTTCTCCCTTCCTGTGATTTATGTCCTGAAACGTCCATTAGAAAGAATTTTGTTTCAGTATCAGGGAAGATTTAGAAACTTAATAACCTGAGGCATAATCAGAAAAAAATGTCTTCTTCGGATAAGTAAGTACCATGTTTTAAGGACTGTTCACTCTCCTGTAAGCGGTACCGAGCACCTGCTCCGAGCCAGCAGCGCCCAGGGCTGCGGCCCCCACACCCTCCCTCCCAGGCACCTTCCCACCCGCACACCCAGGAGCCAGGTGCCGGTACCCACCTGTCGCCATCAGGGCTCCCCAGGAGCTCCCAGCTCCCCCGCCAGCTTAGCAGCCTCAGTGGACAGAGCTTTCCTGCCAGTTCTAGCAGAAGTTCCTGTACTCTGTGCGCCCCCCTGCCTTGGACAGACGCCCGCGCTGCTCGTGAGCAGATTCAGGTCCCGCCGTGCCCCAGTGCTGGAAAGGCCCAGGCTGGGGGTCACTTCGCCACTGGGAGGGAGAGCAGCAGAGGACAGGGTCCCTGTGGTCTGGGGCATGTTCTTCGCCTGCTCCATCCCCAAGGGTTGAGGGGCATCTGCTCTGCAAGCAAGGAGGTTGATGCCAGGCCTCCTGTTTACAAGGTGCTGTAATCTTGGGGTGCTGCCCACATGAGCGGTGTTGCTGGAGTCAACAGTCGAAGGCTGCTGACTTGCTGCTACTTCTGACACTGTCAGCTCCGGGGACACCTCTACCTCCGTGCACCCCAGCCTTGCCCACCCCAGCTCGATGCCCTCTCCTGCCCGCCCCCCGCCCCACCCCGGTCTTCCCAGAGTCTACGAGGCTTTGTTGTTGTTATTTGCTAGTTTGTAGATCACACTGTGGTCCACTCGTGTGGGCACCAGATGGTCCTGTCGCACAGCGGTGTCTTAGCCACAAAGTCAGTGATGAAGTGTCAGCTGGGCCCCGCAGGACGGAGGCGGGTGTGCCGGCTCCTGCCGTGGCCCCGTGGCCCCAGCTAGAGCCAAGTGAGCTGGTCACAGGCGTTGTGCTGGGGACAGGAGCACCAACTCGCCCCTGACGTGCATGACAATTTGTCCTCCCCGCCTCCCTCTCAACAGCGGCTTGTCAGACACCATCATCTTGGACATAATATCAAACTACCTGGTGCTTCCCAACCGGATCACAGTGCCTCTCATCAGCGAGGTTCAGATCGCACAGCTGCGGTTCCCGATCCCAAAGGTCAGTGAGTCTGAGCCCCGGTGACCACACAGCCAGATGCTGCAGGGGCGGGCCGTGCTCGGGGCTGGCTGGCCTCTGTCATGCGGGGCAGGTGGTCCGTACTGCCACACTCCCGGGCGGGGGAGTGGAAAGCTTGTCGTGGGGTCCAGGGCCGAAGATGCCGATCAGGTTACTTTCCCCAGCAGCTCTGGCCAGTCCCGGAGGATGCTGTGGCCACTCGGTCATGTAGCAGGAGCACACCGCATGTGTTTCCGAGCACAGGACTTGGGGGCTGCAGGGTCTCTCGGCTCGGAGACTGTGGTGGGCCTGGGGTCCTGGAGGGATGACGTGGCTTGTGCAGGCCCTGGGCAGGCGTGGCCAGGCTTGGTTTGGGTCTCCGCCTGCCCCACTTCCTGCGTGTTGGTGGGTGTGCAGGTGACAGGTGAGGCCTGGCTGGCGCATGTAGTCTTGGGGTGGGGGGCTTCCTTTTGGGTACATGAAGTGATGCACTCAGAGGCAGCAGGACTTGGTGGGGGCAGGGGGAGGGGTGGCTGGACCTGGAGGGTGGTGCCTCACGGGCACCCTGAGGGCGCCATGGCACTTGTGCTGCCCCTGAGCCCATTGGTGGTGGCCTCCACGCTGCAGCGGACTTAGAAAAGGGGAAGGACACTTTGTCTCTCTCGGGGGCTTCCTCTAGGAGGTGCGGGCCCTCCCCGGCGTCTGCTCCTTTGCAGCTGGAGCTTTTGTAAAACTGACACAGAGAGAACAGACCTGCCAAACTGCTCTTCCTTCCCTGGGCTTTTTTGTTTGTTTGTTTTTTAAGATTTATTTATTTATTTATACAAGCACTGGGTACAGTCAGAAGCACGGGAGGGTGAGAGGATTCACCAGAGCCAGAGCGGGGAGCAGAGCAAGCAGACTGACGAAACACACTGCTGAGGGGTGCAGCGGGCGAGACAGGAGAGGCCTGCCGTGCCATGTGGGACCCTCGCCAGCACCCAGGGATCGAACCGGCGCTGCAAAGGCTGTGGGCAGCTTCGCAGCCCAGCGCTCAACTGCTGCGCCACCAGGGAGGCCCTCCTTCCCTGGGCTTTGGGGCCATTTCTGCTTAAATATGTTGCCAAATTGTCTTAGTTTTTGACATACAGAAATATCAACAAGAGATTGTATTTTTTTAAGTTTTGTTTTTTTGGTTTTTTGGGGGGGGCAACACTTAAAAAGCCCTTATTTTCTTATGCTGACAGGATCAGAATATTACCCAGCAATTTTTCAAAAGATTTGTGGGGTGAGAGCACTACCCTATAGAAAGGTAATTTTACCACTTTATTTGTCTTAAACTTGAGGGCACATCTGTAGTTTTATTAGTCAGGCAACGTTTGTGAGCGGCACATACTTCAAAATCTTTGTCTCCATGTGATATTATCGAGACAGCATCTCCAAGGGCTGTTCTAGAGGTGGAGCCAAGTGGCCGCTGCGTTCCACTGGCTCAGGGCTGGGTCTGATGTCCGAAAGCTCCAGCTCCTGCCTCTCGGCTGCCAGGCATAGCCTTGTCAAGGGCCTGGCTCCTCGGCCCGCGGGCCTGGGCATCTGGGCTGGCACCCGCCTGTCCAGGTCCACCTGCACCACTGCCCCCACCGTTGCTGGTTGTCCCCGGAGTGTGCTCCTGGCCTGCCGGTACACACAACAGGGCCTCTGCCCCTCAGCACACAGTGGCGCCCATGTCCCCAGATGGCTCAGCAGAGAGCCTGTGTCCTATTCCTTTTCAGGGTGTTTTAAGGATCCATTTTATTGAAGCTCAGGATCTTCAGGGGAAAGATACTTACCTTAAGGGGCTCGTCAAGGGAAAGTCAGACCCCTACGGAATTATCCGAGTTGGCAACCAGATCTTCCAAAGCAAGGTCATCAAAGAGAGCCTCAGCCCAAAGTGGAATGAAGTCTACGAGGTGAGCGTGTCCTGCCGAGCAGCTACCCTCTGCTCCCCAGCCCGCGAGGGGCTGGCTGAGCGCTGGCTTGAGTTGCCTGTGCCACTCCCCTTCCTCGGGATGGGATGGAGCGTCCCTCTGCCCTGCCTTCTGCTGGCACATGCGGACCCGCCCCTCAGCTGCACAGAGCTGCTGCAGTTGTGACCGCAGGAGGGCGTCCCTGCATGCAGGACACGTGATGTGCTTGTCAACACAAGCATCAGTTCTGTGCTGTTTCCCGACCACTCCTCCATCTGGCGCCGGGGCACAGTGGCCTTGCTTACCCTGCCGCTCATGGGCCACACACCACTCATGGGCCACACCCTCCTCCCAGCCGGGCTGTCCTCGGTGCCCTCGAGGAGGGTTCACTGCAGAGTAGAATGCTGTGTCTTCTGAAAGGCCTGCTACGTTCTTGCAAAGTTGTTCTCCAGAACAGGAGGCAGCTTGTGTTCCATGAGCATCCATCTTGGGTGGCGCTAAGCAGGTCACGCGTGCATGATCCCCAGAACAGCGTCCGAGTGGGCCTTCGGATAGTGACACGTCCAGGCTGCCGCCAGATGTGCAAGTCATGCTGTGACCCTTGTCCTGGAGCAGTTGAGCTTGACCCACTGAAGATGCCCTCGTTACTAGAAACAGAACCTCAGACTCTTGCACTCAGGCAGATGGTCACCAGGATGAAAACAATGGTCTGATGGGGAAAGGCCGTCGTCTCGACAGCCATATTGACCCCCCTACCCCTTCCAGGCTCTAGTTTACGAGCACCCGGGTCAGGAGCTGGAGATCGAGCTGTTTGATGAGGACCCAGACAAGGACGACTTTTTGGGCAGGTGAGTCCTTGTGTCTGTGAGGCGGGCGTCAGGGCCCTCGGGCTTGGTGGCCCAGCAGAGCAACCCTCACCTCCCGATAAGGCACGTCTGTCCCTGACCTGTCTTGGATTTAGCGAACAAAGGAAGGGCCTCGACGGAGGTCGGCTGCTGCCCCTGGCCACGGGGGCCTGTTCACATGAAGAGGACGCAGCCACAGCTGGACCCGTCCCCCACCTCCCCTGTGGCCGGGTCCTGTCGTGCCGCAGGTGCTGTTCGCACTGCGCTGCGCGTGGGGCGATGGTTTGTCTATGTCGGTGAGGCAACCGGCGTAGCTGAGTTTTTAAAAAATGCGTGTCTACCTGATCGTTATTAATCTACTGCAAGAAAGCCAGGCCTCAACGACACCAAGGCGGGGAGCGTTGGCAATGAGCCCGGTGTGCGGCTGGGACGCGGGCCCCTTGGGAAACAGCTCGGTGGGAGAGTTTGGCAGCCCACAGCAGGTCAGGGTTACCAGCCAGTAAAACGTCTGGAGGCTGTCCGCGCCGGACGAGGCAGGAAGGAGAAGTGAGTCCGGTGTGAGGCAGAGGTTTGGAGGTGGCTGCGAGGGAAGCCGAGTGTGGTTGTCTGGCTCTGGGATGGCCGCTGCTAGTGGTGGGCAGTTGTCCGGGGCGTGGGTGGGTTGGCTTGGACCTGCTGGGCGTGAGCCTGAGGCAGGGTTGAAGCCACAGGGTCCATGCCTCTGACCAGGGCTGCAGGCAGGGAGCGGACACTCCCGTCCACCCTCTGCCCTCCTGGAAACAGCCGCGCTTGATGCCTCTGCTCCCGGCCTGAGCAGCCTCTGGAAGCCTATTCTTGGGGCACTGCAGTGTTGTGCTGCATTTCTGGGAGATTTCCTCACAGTAAATGGTGCAGCAGTTTCTCTGTGCTAACGCTGCGTGTTACTGCCTCTGCAGCCTCATGATCGACCTAACTGAAGTGGAGAAGGAGCGCCTCCTGGACGAGGTACGTCGCCAAGTCTCGCTCTGCCCCCACGGAGGCCCCTTTCCCGAGACCGCAGCATGAGGGCTCTGGTAGCTGCAAAGTGGAAAACAAGCTGAGAGCCAAACCGGGGATGCCACATTCTGGGGGGGTATCAGGATGGGCTTGGCCAGCAACCCAGGAAGCAGGTCCCCTGCGGAGGCCACAGCCAAGTGCGGCGCATGGACAGGCCCCGCACACAGGGTCAGCAGGGGTCTGGCCCGAACCAGAGCATAAGGAGTGAGCAGTTGTGGTGCTTTGGAGGGGTCGGCTGGCCGCTAAAGCGTGACCTCCCCCTTGGTGCTGAGAACTGCCTCACAGCAGCAGCCCCTGCAGCGTCCTGCAACCCTTCCCATAGCTGCAGGCTGTGCTCGGGCCCACGCTCCTCAGCTCCTCAGCTCCTCCGCCCGGAGGCTGGGGCCATCTCCCATTAATTCTTTTTTTTTTTTTTTTTTTAAGATTATTTATTTATTTATTTATTTATTTATTTATTTATACAAGCACTGGGAACAGTCAGAAGTGTGGGAGGGTGAGAGGATTCACCAGAGTCAGAGCGGGGAGCAGAGCAGGCAGGCTGACGAAGTACACTGCTGAGGGGAGCAGCGGGCGGCAGGAGAGGTCTGCGCACCATGTGGGACTCTCGCCAGTGGCTAGGGATTGAACCGGCGCTGCAGAGGCTGCGGGCAGCTTCGCAACCCAGCACTCAACCGCTGCACCACCAGGGAGGCCCTTCCATTGATTCTTGGCGGCTTTTAATCTGAAAGAACAGTTTTTTGGTGACGATGTGGTGCTAAGTAAAGACAAACACACTGGCTGGCTGGATGTGCTTTCTTGGCCATGAGCTCTATGAGAATCCTCATGGAGGAGCCTAACCTCACTGGATCCTTCTAGAAAGCGTTTGTATCCTGGGGCGCACATGCGGGTAGAGCAGCACCTGGCTTCAGGGCCCGGGCAAGCCTTAGGCACCTCAGCGCAGCTCCCTCTGGGCCGCGGCGCCCCCCTGCTCCAGCCTTGCACCGCCCAGGCCACATGCCACAGCCTGTCTGCTCTGCGTTTCGCTTCAGGAGGACGCTGGCTAAATGTGAACACTCTCTCCTCAGTGGTTCGCTCTGGACGAGGTCCCCAGAGGGAAACTGCACCTGAGGCTGGAGTGGCTCACCCTGGTGCCCGACGCGTCCGGCCTGGACAAGGTACTGGGCGCCCTGACCCTGAGTGCCAGCAGTGGCATCATGGCGGGGAGGGGGCAGCACTTGCCCAGTGAGACTGAGCGCTGCGGGGCGCAGCTGAGCTGGCTGCAGCAGGTGACGATCTCGTCGCTTCAAAGCTGATTTTCTTTTCATTGTCTGGCTTGTTCGGATGGTTTGGCTGCTCTTCTATTCTCCTGGGTGCTGCAAGCGGAGCTGCAGGCTCAGCCTGAGGTCGAGCGGTGATGCCCTGCTGAGGCCGTCTCCTGTCCCCACAGGTGCTGGCGGACATCCGAGCAGACAAAGACCAAGCCAACGACGGCCTCTCCTCCTCGCTGCTCATCCTATACCTGGACTCGGCAAGGAACCTCCCGGTAGGTGGTGCAGGGGCTCGGGCGTGTCCTGGCAGTGCCTGGTGGTGTGCGGCTCTCCACACCGCCACTGGGTTGCTGTTTGAGCTGGCGCCGACCTGGAGAGCAGCAGCGGGAGGGACGCGGGGCTGGTGTCCACACGTCACCTGGATCCGCCCAGGGTGTTCCGGTACTTTCCACAGACGTGTCTGACAGACTCCAGTGCACAGAAGTGCCTGGCCGTTAGGGGAGAAGATATTCTGTAGAAAGTCACCGGTTTCTAAATTGTAGGGTCTGGAGAGGGGAATTGTCTCTGGCCTGTTTTAAATGCAGCCCCGTGCTGAACCCCCTCCCGGCGGCAGCGCACAGGTAGGGGCCCAGGCCGGCTGACCGCCCACAGCAGTTCCCTCCTCCGTGACAACCAGGCCATTGTTGAAATTTCCGTAGATTTTTCTTTGCGTGCCCATCACTCTTCTCCTTCGTCTCATTGTGTCCAAGACCAGTTCTGTTGTGAGACTACGCCCCAGGTTAGGGCGCCCCTCTCGGGACGCCGCCCCAGGACACCCCACCAGGGCACAGCCAGGACTGTCCCTGCCCTTCCCGGCCTGGTGTGGCGCCTGGGGCCACGGCGAGGCTCTGCATCTACACAGCCACAAGCCCCACTGGCAGAGTCTGAGCCTCTGCTGGCTTCCTGCGGGCAAGATGCGCCTGAGCGCTGCAGAATCGCGGTGGTTGCTCGTTCTTTCTGTGAAGGTGTGACTGATTTTCATGTCTTAAATTCTGAATTTCTCTTGCTGTTTTAAACTTGGGTCAGTCCTCCAGTCTGAAATCTGTGACTTTAGCTGTTAAAATTTCAATTTGGGAAAAACTGTTTTACTGTTCCTTGACCTTTCTACAGAATTTCTTCTATGGCAGAACTTCCATGGGGCCACGCTGTATTTGTTACAGAGTCTGTTGTGGTGCCTCATGAAATCAAACTTGTCTGCTTTAGGGTGTAGGACGTGGGGGTGGGTTGGCCGGAAAGGGTCAGTTCTCTGTAGAACTGTGCGTTTGTCACGCCGCACTGACATTTGAGTCACATCACAAAGAAGTCAAAACAATGGCTTCACTTCCCATGCCGAGGGCACCGTGTGCACGCAGCGGCCTTGGCTGTCCGGTGGGCCGAGGGGCGGCTCCGCTCAGCCTCTGCCCCGCCCCTGCACTGCTGCCTCCTGTGCTGACCAAGCCCACCATTCTCTGCTCTCTCCCCCGGTTCCACTGTCCTAAGAGCATCTACGAGGGAAGCTTTGGGTGTGGCTACTTAAAAGAGAGGCGAGCGTCGGGACTAGTGTTCTGTGAGAACACTGCCTCGGTCTGTGGCGCGCTCCTTGTGAGTTCCTGGTGTTCCTCCTTGGCTTGCTGGGGTGTGCCCAGCCCCAAATGCCCTCCCCCGTGTGCCGTGCGTGTGTGCGTGGTGTGGCGTGTGTGGTGTGTCCTGCCCTTCCTGCATGGGGTCCCGCTATGTGTGTGGCTTGTGCTTGTTTCCACGATGCCCGCTGCGTGGCTCACACGAGCTCACGCCTGGCCCCAAGCTGCACAGGCCAGGGACTCATGGCCATGCCTGAGCTCCCACCGCTGCAGGCCCGTCCCAAGGGTAGAAATTCTGAGGCAAAAAATGATGCCGTGATGATGAAAGTGGATCTTCTCCTGGTTCGCCTCAGCGTGTGAGACATAAACATCTCTTTGTAAACTTGAAAAAAAATTCCTTAAATCCACTGTCTTCCTGAACTGCTGAAAAGAGCCGGGCCTGGCTTGCCCACCTCTTGGCACCCACACGTGGACAGGGACGCCCAGAGTCCACTGGGACCCCCCAACCCCCCGTGACCGGAGCATTGGGGAGATGACTGGGCTTATGCTCCGCTGGGCTCCGGAGCCGTGGCCTGGGGGTGGCAGTGGAGGTGCCCGTGCCTCCGGACCGGGTCTGGGGCTCACTGGGCGGTGCCAGGCGCAGATGTGTCCCGTGGCCGCATCTAGTTTCCGTCTCCATATGCATTTTCAGTCTTCATATTTTTCAAAAGAGGGAAAGCAAAAGTTTAGGAATAGACTTTTGGCCCATTTTAGGGAGCGGGTGACTCAGACCCTCAGGGCTGGGCCAGCTGCTCCTCGAGCCACAACAGAACAAACGCCACCCCCAGCACCAGGCCAAGGCCCTGTGCACTGGCTGGGGCGGCCATGGGCACCGGCCTCCTGCCCGCTTGGCGTCCGCACCACCCTCATCTTAGGTCCCTTCTCTCAGAGCTTCCTAGGTTGGTTTTTCAAGCAAATGTGTCTGAATTGTTTAGGGTGTTATGGCTGCCTCTGAGTGCCCAGCCATGAAGCTGTGGGGTCACAGCCAGTTTCCCTCCCACATCACAGCCCTCGCGACGGCTCCCTGAGCCGGCCGCTCGCAGCAGAGTTCCGGGGCGAGCTGACCGCTCCTCGCCAGGGCCCTGGTCTTGGCGAGGATGGGCCGGGGCACCTCAGTTCTCCTCCGAGGCCGAGACCACGACGGGTGTGTGCGGCTCTGGCTGCTGCCGGCTCTGCCTCCCGGTGCCTGAGGGGCCCAGAGTGTCCATGCCCAGAGCGGGCGGCTCCCATCCACCCAGGGTGCCTGTCGCCTCCTGGCCCGTGCGGTGTCTGTGCCGCCTGCTCTGGGCGAGGGCTTACGGGCTCCCTCAGCTCTACTGGGCAAGCGCGGTGGCCACTTCTGCCTCCAACTGGCCAGTGGCCTAAGGGTGGGGGTGCAGTCGGGTGGGCGCCCGAAACGACTCCCCACCTGGCCCGAGCAGCTTGTACGCCTCCACAGCTCCTCTGCCCTTTCCGCACCACCCCTCCCCACGCTGGCCTGAGCTGCGGTGTCGGGGCCGCACGAGTGGCTCCACGCAGGCTCTGCGGGCCCTGCAGCTGCCGTCCTCCCCACCCAGGGCTGTGAATGTACTCCCGGGAGCTGCTCCAGACTCTCTCCCCGGCGCTGGGCATCGGTGCTGACCCCTCTCCAGCCAGCGTCCGGCCCTGGCATCTGGCCCAGCCAGCCCCACTGGGGCAGACAGGCAGCTGCTGTCTCCTTGACTATAAAGTCTGCTGCTCAATGAGAGAGTAATAAAATTCAATCCATTGTTTGAAGCTGATTACAGCTAAAATGATAACACGTTTAACTGTAAATGTTGGTCCTTGAAGGAACTCGCGAGGACAAGAGAGTATGAACTGCAAAGGAAAAGTTTAGAAATAGGACACAAAACCCATAGTAACAGAACTCTAAAGCCAGGAGGAAGGTTTGGGGTGATCTCACCCGCCTTTGCATTTGAGTTTCGGAAGAGGGGTGAAGTGGAGAAGCGGAGAAGCCGTCAGTGTCAGCAGGGAGGAAACGGCCTGTGGTGTAGCCCTTTCAAGTGCAGCTTAGACAAAACCCACGTGGGGGCAGGAGGGTGGGCACGCAAAGAAGCGACCCGACCCCTCCTCTGACATCCCAGTCTTGAGCTTCCAAGTCCCAAAGGCAAGAGGGGTGAAGCAGAAGCATAGACGCACGGGCCTGAGGACGTGTGTTTGGTATTTACAGATGAAAGGTTGGTTCTGAGGTAAAAGCTTGAGCATGGAGAATTTCACAACTGATTTCTGTTGGTTTTTGTGTAAGTCTTGTTGGTGACTTTTCGTTAAGCATTTTTTGATCGCATACGGTTTCATGTCATTAACCTTCCATAAACTCCTCATTGCATGTTTTATTAACCCTTGGAATATTCATTTTCTTCTGACTTGAAAGAGTAACCCATTAGAATTTAACCCTGATGTCTTGAAGAAGGCTGCAGTTCAGAAAGCGTTCAAGGTAAACTCTTTCCCTCAAAGTGGAGAAGTCGATCAAATCTATTGCGAGAGGTGATGTTCTGGCCCCGTGGTGCTGTCAGCAAGTTGCCCCGTGCTCGTGGCCAAGTCGTGTCCAGCTCGAGAGGTCGAGGGGACTTGTGACCCAAAAATTCGCAGAAGAATTTAAGTCAACTTGGAAGACAAATTTTACAAGTACCAGTTTGGTAAACTGCACCTCTGTCCTCTTGCCTTAGGAAGCAACACCTGAGGTGGATTTAAATCTATATTTTGATTGGACCAAATCAGTGAAAATGGGGAAGCAGAAGTTCTACTAAAATCTTACCTGAGGGCCTCCCCTGGTGGCGCAGCGGTTGAGCACTGGGCTGGGAGGCTGCCCACAGCCTCTGCAGCGCCGGTTTGTTCCCCGGCCGCCGGCGAGGGTCCCACAAAAAATATATATAAATAAATAAATAAAATAAAATCTTACCCGACCCGCAATTGGGGTCCTGGGTGCTGGTGCACGGCTGCCAGCCAGAACATCTCCTCTTCCAATACGCGGCCAGGTGGCCGGGTCGGCCTCTGGGCTTTGGTGCTGCTGGGCTGGGGCACAGATCTTTCAAGAAGCCTTAAATTTCACTCAGTGAGGTGTATTGGAAACTAAGCTCCATCCTTAAAATGACATGGATGTGAATTTTCTGAATAAAGTGCTGAAGTCATCAGTAACTTAGGATGGTTTACTCCCCTGCAATTTCTTTGAACGTTTTAGGCTTAAATATTTGGGGGGGGGGGATTTTGAATGTAATTGTTTTTATAAAATTCTCCCCCACTAATTCAGGAATTGTTTTTAATCCATTTCATCTAGAAAAATACGTTGAATTCAAAAGCAAGGATGACCGACCCCCGACCCCCGCCCACAGAGGGGTACAGAGTGCTGGCCTCCGGAGGGCACCCTCTGGGCTGCACACTGGAGGGGTGGGGCTGCTTTATCCCAAACTGGGTGAAGAGTGAGCTTCCCCCCTCCCCCCCGCCCTGTGCCAGGGCCTCGCGGTCACAGCCACAAGCTTCCTGGTCGCTCCCCGTGGCCTCAGCTGAGCCTCTGGGTGTGCCTGCCCCGCGTGTGGGTGAGAGCGCCTGGGTGACTGGGTGGCGGCAGCCAGGCTTAGGTCAGCTGGGCAGACCTGCAAGCTCACGGTCTGGCCACCTCACAAGTCTGACTGGTGCTGGTACAGCTGCGTGTTGGGTCACAGTAGAAAGCACAGTGATCGGACTTTATTTCAGAGAGTTGACGCCACTATTCGTTGCGCCCCTGAGGAGCACAGTGCCAGTTAAAGTTTAATAGCATTGACTTCTTACTTACTGAAGGGTTGGTGAACTCAGGCTGAACACGCATGTGTCCTTCATGCGCTCACACGCTCGCACAGGAGAGGGAGCCGGGTAGCCCCGCAGCTGTGGCCGGAGGCTGGAGCTGTCTTCAGTCCCAGGTTTCTCTCTGTTCAGAGATGTGAGAAAGTTCTTTAAAAAGTCTTAAAATCCCCACTACAGTAACTCTAGGGATGAATGGGCCGTGTTTTCAGAGGTGAAATGACTGTGTGAGTTTGGAAAGAAACTCAGCATCTGCACCAAAGACCTACAGTGTGTCACGTAAACAGGCCTGTTCCTGCAGAAACCCCGTGAGCGCCTGCAGGCGAGAGAGGGGCATACCCACTCCTTCCCGCCACAGCGGGCCCGGGTGGCCGCTTGGTGCAGAGGATGCAGGTGCACTGTGAAAGGAGGAGAAAATGGACTTAGGGGGAACCCTCTTCTCTGCCTAAGGAACCTAGAGCCTGCGGTTTGTCATAGTATTCACTTCGCTTTGCAGAATTATCCACATCAAAAAGATGAAGCAGAGAACAGATTCTCACAATAGGTTTGCGCTAAGAATATTTTATTCCAATAATTGTATGATTTTGGAGCTGGTTTCTATCATTGCCCCAGTGTTGAGGGTTGACACTAAAACTATCTAGAAAAAAAAACACATTTGTGCCTGCTGATGTCCACTAACAGACACTTGACCGCATCCTCTGGTGTGGCTGAGTTGTGGACAGTGCCTGTGGCAGTGCTGCTTCTGGGCCGGTTGCTGAGGTCTGCTTTTTGCCATTTTTTTCCTCATTCCTAAATCTTTCATCTCTGCTTAATTTAATGTGATTCTAGGTATTCCTTTTTTCTGTCAGAATTACTTAGCAGCCGAGAGCAAGACCTGGCAGCCCCATGAGCAGACTGACTGGTTCACAGTGCAGGCCTGTCCTGCACTTTGGGGGTGCCGTCCGGGAGCCTCTGGGGGGCACCTTCTGGTGTGTTGCCTGTCTGCTCCCCACTTGTTTCACTCTGTTCATTTTGTTATCAAGCAAGATAAGTTTTGGGAGCTGGGATTAACATTAAAGACTTTGAAAAGATTCAGTGTTTACAAAGCAGCTTGCTATAAAAATCAAAGGCTTCATGACACTTAAAAATTGTGTGAAATAGAAATTTTCTTAGTTATTTTTATGGCGAGTAGCCATGGCTTTGGCATGTGCCTCGCAGTTGGCTTCTAAGTGAATTGTCCCAGACGGTCCCATGACAGAAGCGTCAGAAGTAAATAGAAGTGGCTGTTGGTATAAACCAACCAGTTAGTTTTAGTAAACCTCACTTCAGGATATGTTTGTTTATTTTGCCTGTTTTTTGTTTTTGGATAGTCGGGGAAGAAAATAAACAGCAACCCGAATCCTCTTGTCCAGATGTCCGTCGGGCACAAGGCTCAGGAGAGCAAGGTAATAGGCAGCCCCGTCCCCTGGGGGGGCCAGCGCTGATGCTGACCCTTCCGTGGCCATCAGATGCGTAGCCAGCTGCTTAATTGGGTGATAAGTATACTGTTCATTTTAAAAAATAACATTAAAAAGTAACACATGAATATACTCTTGCTTGAGTTCATGGGTCGGTGACATATGGGGCAGCTCTCTTAGTTTCCTCTGAATGCTCCATAAATACCGTGTTTCAAAGATAATAGTGCTTAAAAAATCAACACACTCAGTCCCAGGAATCGGGAGCGGGAGCTGCTCACCCCCGGGAGTGACAAGCTCCTGCAGACCGCAGCTCCGTCCCGGGGGCTGTTGCCACCCGGTTTGGTGAGAAGTGGCTTCACAGATGCACACTCAGCATTTGTCTCGAACATTTTGCACAATGAACACGGAAGGGCAGGTGCTCAGGCCGTGTGTCTTGGAATTTCATCGCTGCCCTGAGCTTTCTGGTGCGGAGAGGGCGGTGTTGGCAGCAGCCCCCTGCTCCGCACTGTGGTAGAGCTGCTGTTTGGGGTTTCCTTCAGATTCGGTACAAAACCAGTGAGCCGGTGTGGGAGGAAAACTTCACCTTCTTCATCCACAACCCCAAGCGCCAGGACCTTGAAGTCGAGGTACGTGGTGGGCTTCCGGCAGGTGTGTCCAGGCAGACAGTGGGCACTGAACAGCTGCCTGGGAGGGACAGGGGGCTGCCGCTGTCAGGCCCCACCCTGCTGTGGCCCCACTAATTCAGGCACCCTGAGTCTCTGGGACCTTTTGGTACTGTGAGTCGGCGTTTCTCATCTTCAAGCCTGGTCAGCTTGTCACCAGTCTACATGGAGCGGCTGTGCTGGGCCTACGTCCAGCAGCTCTGTTGGTCAGGCTGGTACGCAGGCGCCCTGCTGTGTGGGGCCTTATCGACTCTGTCTGGGGCCTCGGGCCTCTGGTCTCCTCCCCCACCTCCCAGGGTAGGGCTGTGTGCAGGGAGCCCCTTCTGGGCCGAGAGTCTGGTCCCGGGGCAATGTGCAATCCCATTAAAGGCTTTCCTGCTAGTGAAAGGATCATGGAGCTTTTCTGCTTAAGTCCACAGATGCTGACTCCCAGGTGTCAGTAGCAAACTCGCAGTGGCTTTTGAGCTTTCACGTGAGAAACCCTGCAGGCACCCCTGGAAGGTCGCCACGAGGTGCAGCCCCTGTGTCCCCAGCCAACACGGGTGGTCTGTGCCGTGTGCTAGACCCAGCCACTGCCCCTCTGAACTACACAGACCGTCCCCGGGACCCCGGCGCCTGCCTGTTCACGGCATTTACCTTGCATTGGGTGTTGCCATCACCAAGAGACACCTGATGGTGAGGGGCCATTGTACCCCAGGACTTAGCATCTGAGGGGTTCCTGGAACATCCCCCCTCCCCGGGACACCAAGAATCAGCTGTGTCCTGTTATGTGTTCCGCTTAAGTTGCCAACACCTTCCAAAGGGTCTTTGTATCTCAGTCATGAAGGCTGTTCCCGGGCCCTGGTACCAGGGCGCTGCCGGCTCCTGGGTCACGAGGAGGGTTCCTCCCCTTTGGTTTTCTGGAGGAGCTGGTGTGGAGCTGATGGTCTCCTCACACCCCTGGTAGATTCACCAGGGAAATCACCTGGGCCTGCAGCTCTCACACAGATTCGATTCTGCTCGTGGCTTCACCCCGCCCGGGTTACCTCCTCCTTCTGGAGGACTCGGTGTCACGTCTTCCGAGGAAGCCAGCCATCCCTCTGAGCTGCCGCGTGGCCTGGCCCGCCGCCCCACGTGGCCCTTCCCTGTCCTGTCCAGATACCGGCTTCATGGTTGCTGATTGTGGGCATCTCGCCTGCTTTCCTGGTCAGCAGGAGGGTGGTTTTACCTTCTCACAGAGAAGTCTTTCATCTGCTTCCCGCTGTCTATCGCGCGAGGAGGCCTGTCCGAGGGCAGCAGACAGCAGGCGCTGCGGACTCTGCAGGCGGCTGAGTGGGAGGCCTGAAGGCACTCAGGAGTGTGTGCCGGTGCATGGGCGTCTCTGGGGCCGGTGCGCCCGCCCAGGGTGTTTCCATCCCCATGGCAGGGCGCTCCGGCCACGGGGCCCCTCGCGCCCTCTGCGCTTGAGCCTCCTCACTGGCGCAGCCCCGCGCTCAGGTGCGTGTCCGCCGTCCCGCCCCGCTGTGCAGGTGAAGGATGAGCAGCACCAGTGCTCGCTGGGCAGCCTGACCATCCCGCTCAGCCAGCTGCTCGCCAGCGAGGACATGACCATGAGCCAGCGGTTCCAGCTGAGTAACTCGGGCCCCGGGAGCTCCCTGAAGATGAAGATCGCCCTCAGGGTGGGTGTCCGCGGCGGGCGGGCCGGCGGGCCGGGGCGGGGGCGGCGCGGAGAGGCGCTGCGGGGGGCGGGGCGCGGAGAGGCGCCGGCGCCGCCCCCCTGACGGCGCCCCCCGCAGGTGCTGCACCTGGACGCGCGGGCGCGGGCCGCGGACCGCCCGCACTCGGCGCAGGTGCGGCGGCCGGCCGCGCCCCAGGACGGGCGCCGGGTCTCCGTGCGCTCCCCGGCGCCCGCGTCGCCCGGCGGCCCCGCGGCCCCGTCCGCGCCCGGCGCGGGGGCCGGCGAGCCGCCCGGCGAGGAGGAGCCGGGCGCCGCCGCCGAGCCCGGCCCCCCGGGGCCGCGGGAGCCGGGCCGGAGCCCCGCCAGCCCGCCCGCCGGCGCCGCGCCCTCCCCCGGCCGCGCGTCGCCCAAGGAGCCCACGCCCAGCATCGCCTCCGACGTCTCGCTGCCCCTCGCCTCGCAGGAGCTGCGGCAGCGGCTGCGCCAGCTGGAGAAGTACGGGCGGGCGGGGCGCGGGGCACGGTGGGGGCGGGCGGGGGCGGGGGCATGGCCGGGCGGGGCTCCCAGCTGGGGCAGGGCGGGCCCCCTGCCCCCTCCACCCCCCCAGCCGCGGCCTCTTGCGGCACCGCAGGCTTCTGGGGCCCACGTTGTCTCGCGTGAAGAGCCGCCGGGGCCAGGGCTCCCTGAGGGGCCGGCGCCCCCGTGTCCCTCCCCGCGCAGGGCCGCAGGGCCCAGCGGTGGGCAGCGGCAGCTTTGCCCGGGGTCAGCGCCCTCCCCTGCCCAGGGCGCTGGCCTGCGGGATGGTGGCGGGGCCCCTCCTTCGGGTGTCGGGGTGCAGGTGGCCGCGGGCTTTTGGATGAGCAAGAACCGGCATCTCAGTCACCAGCAGCCTCCGCAGCGGCCTCTCCCCCAGCCCGAGCGAAGCCGCCTCCAGCGGCTCCTGCGGCCTGTCGTCCCCACAGGCGTGCGGTCTGGAGGGCCAGGCCTGGCTCAGCCCGGGCCGCACACGCCCTCACCACCTCTGCGCCCGAGGACAGCCAACTCTGTTCTCTCCGCTTCTAAAGGACCTAGAGCTTTAAACTAGAAAACACTTTTTTCTTAGGAGAGAAATTTAGGGAGTGACTGAGGTGATATTTGGGGGGGTCATGGCTGTCTTGGGGGCCATGTTCACCTGAGAGCTGGGGATCCCTGTAGCCGGTCACTGGGCCGTGAGCACCGCTGTCCCGGGTGCGCATCCACGGGCCAGGTGTGGGCTGGCGACAGAGCTAGGAGGCCGCTCGCCTTGTCCCCATTCTGGGCCCACACTGGGGGCGTCAGCTCGGGCCTGGGGGCCCCTGCGCAGGGCGTGCCAGGCGCCCTCAGCGGAGGCTGTGCATGTGCTTGTTGCAGCGGGATGACCCTGGGCCAGTCGCCACTGGGGCAGATCCAGCTGACGGTGCGGCACAGCTCGCAGAGGAACAAGCTGGTGGTGGTGGTGCACGGCTGCAGGTGAGCCCAGCACCACACCTCACATGAGACCCTTCCATGGACAGTCCCCGCCGTGGCTGTCTTGCCGCCCCGTGGCGGCCTGACCCGCGCCCCGTGGTGCACAAGCCGTCCCTGGCTCGGCAGGAGGGTTGTCCTCGCCTCCTGCCACAGGAGTGCAAGCGCAGCTCTCCCACAAAATCGAGGGCTTCTCAGGGTTCAGTGTGCAGGAGCAGGTTGGTGTCAGCTCAAAGGGTCCAGAGGGTTGGTGGCATCCGGGTTGGCCGGACAGTCCAGTCCCTGTGAGCACTGGGAGGGTGGTGCTCTGTGGGAGGGGTCACTGAGCATGCTGGCGGGCGACTCACCTGGGGCCGCGCTGTTCTATGGAGTCTTGTCATAGGCCTCTTGTGGAGTGACTTACTTTCCTTTGATATGACTGGTCTATAGTTATTTGAAATAAGACTGGTCTTTAAAAAGTTGTTCAAGGGCCTCCCCTGGTGGCACAGTGGTAAAGCTGCCCGCAGCCTCTGCAGTGCCAGTTCGATCCCCAACCACCAGGCGAAGGTCCCACATGGCACGCAGACCTCTCCTGCCGCCCGCTGTTCCCCTCAGCAGTGTCCTTCGGTCCTTCTGCCTATTCTGCTCCCCGCTCTGGCTCTGGTGAATTCTCTCGCCCTCCCGCGCTTCTGACTGTACCCAGTGCTTTGTTGGAGGGCCTCCCCTGGTGGCGCAGGCGGTTAAACACAGTTCTGTGAAGCTGTCCGCAGCCTCTGCAGTGCTGGTTCAATCCCGGCCGGCTGGCGAGGGTCCCACAGGGTGCGGCAGACCTCTCCTGTCTCCCCGCTGCTCCCCTCAGCAGTGTATTCCAGTCCGTCTGCCTGTTCTGCTCCCCGCTCTGTCTCTGGTGAATCCTCTCACCCTCCCGTGTATCTGGCCTATAGCCCAGTTCTTGTCTAAATAAATAAATAAATCTGTAAAACTAAAAAAATTTTAAAAATTGAAAGTTGGTCAACACACAGGAAAGCAGAGTTCTTTAGAAACGGGGCTCTGAATGTGGCGTCGAGTTCCTTTTGGGTTTCTGCTCCTCAGAGGGACGGGGCCCAACTTAGCATCCTGCAGGGCTACTCCAGTGTGCAGCGGCCAGCCAGTGGTGGCGGGAGGTAGCGCGAGCCTGCAACCTGGCGGCCCCCGCTGCCCGGGCGGGAAGCTGTGAGGGCGGCGGGCTTGGCTCTGCGCTGGCTCTCGGCAGCCGGTGCCCCACAGCCCAGAGAGCGGAGCTGCGTGCAGCTCTGACGCCCCCCTGCTGTGCATGCTCAGGAACCTCATCGCCTTCTCAGAAGACGGCTCCGACCCCTATGTCCGCATGTACCTGCTGCCCGACAAGAGGCGTTCGGGAAGGAGGAAAACTCACGTCTCCAAGAAAACCCTGAACCCTGTGTTTGACCAGAGGTAGGGTCCTGGTTAAGGGCATAACCCCCAAGTCACGCCCATGATCGCTGCTGAGCAGAGCGAGTGGTGAGACCCTGCTGCGTCTGACTGGGTGTGGGAGGGGCCGTGGGAGGGGGCGCCGTCAACCCAGCCGTGGCCGGCCGCCTGTGCTCACGGGAGCACTGCCCAGGCCCCGAGCAGCTCTCTTGTGTGGGGTTCCAGCTCTTGATTTTTTGCTAAGTTACTCATGAAAATTAAGAGTTTTAAAATATATACTTTTTAAAGTTCATTTTAAAACAATACTCTATTAACATCTTAAAATGCATTCGTGTGTGCACAACAGTAAAACAATGCGGGAGAAGCTTGGTGCCCTGCGGCTCTCTTCCCCCGTCAGGACTCCTGTCTGCAGTCAGACTCAGGGCTCGTCGGGAGCCGTGGCGCTGTCTGACTCTAGTCTCTGTGCCAAGCACCTGGCATTTGGGATGAAGCCCCTACGTCCGTTGTGCTCCGTCCCAATCACCTTAGTTGCACCAAGGCCAGAGACCACGGTCTGGTGTGGCCCCTTCTCTTATCCGCAGCCTCTGAGAACTGGGGGCCCCATACGCACATTGGGGCTCCAGGCTGCTTGCGGGGTGGGAAGGTGGCCCCATTCTAGCGGGTCCCGGGCAAGTTGCCACGAGTTCCCCAGCCCAGAAGGACATGGTTTCCTGGGGGCAGCTTTGTCTGCAGAGCTGTCTGCTGTGAAAAATGCTGCTCCTAAAACTGCCCACGCCCCCCTCATCTTCTCTTCCACCCCCCAGCTTGGCAGCTGCTCCCTTGTGTCCTCAGGGCACATGAGCTCAAGACGCCCACCTCACACCCAGAGCCCAGAGCCAGGCTCTCCTGCCGTGCAGATTTGGCCATTGATGTCCAGAGAACACCCACCCTCACGGGAGCCTTCATGGGTTAGGAAAGCTAGAAAACAGTTTCTAAGAAACAGTCTTGGAGTCTTCATGAAATGCCACCTCCAAACATCTTGCAGAACTCGGTTTCATTGGAAAGCAACGCGAACAGAAATGTCGTGTTTTTAGACGTGACGAAGACATGGCAGAATCATGGCGCCGTTAACGGAAGGTCCTCTTGTCCGTTTCAGCTTCGACTTCAGCGTCTCGCTGCCCGAGGTGCAGAGGAGGACGCTGGACGTGGCGGTGAAGAACAGCGGCGGCTTCCTGTCCAAAGACAAAGGGCTTCTCGGCAAAGTCAGTGTGAAGACAGCCCGGGGCGCTCTGTGCTCCCCAAGCCCCGAGTTCAGGCCGGGCGGGTCGGTGGGGACGCCCTCTGAGTAGCGCCCATCAGTGAGCAGTGCCAGGAGGACCGTCACTGGGGCCGCGCACTGTGAAGACACGCTCAGGTGTTTCCACGTGTTTCTGTTGTGCGCGTACTAGTCATGCTAACACCACGGATGTAAGTGGGAGGAAAGGTTTGGTGTTGGGTTTTTTGTTCAGGCATCACACTAAAAGAAAACACAAAGGGAGATTCTCGATTCTGCCTCCCCAGCTGCTCACGCTGCCTTTCCTGACAAATCGTTCTCTTCATTTTTCTGAATTTTTCTCGTCTCTGTCCATACTCACACCCAGCGCTCACGCAGGAGCATACGCTCCAGCGTGCACGGCAGGGACGGGGGTTTTGTGGCAGGCCCAGTGCCGTCGTCCGCGTCACCGCGGTGGCACCCCATGACTTAGCTGCACTGACATGGCTCGTGACCTAAGGCCGTGGGGTACAGTGGGCCGCGCAGTTTGTTGGCAGGTCACACGAGCAGGAGAGAGAGAAAGGAGACTCAGGAGAGCGGTGCTGCCCAGATGGTGGCGAGAGGTCCGGAAGGAATCGCTTCAGCCATTTGTATACGCTCTTTCAACCCACAGGTACTGGTTGGTTTGGCCTCTGAGGATCTGGCCAAAGGCTGGACCCAATGGTGAGTGTCTGCACAGTCCCCTCCCCCCCCCCCCCCCCCGAGTCCACGTGTACAAAGCGGCACTTTGCACGCTGACGGCCTCTTGCCTGGGCCCTCGCAGGTACGACCTGACGGAAGACGGCGCGCGGCCCCATGCGGCGACGTAGCGGAGCCCGAGGAGCAGCTGCACCTGCTACTTTTATACTCCCCTGTGTCCAGTTACACAGACCCAAGCTGTTTCATAAAACATGTTGACATTTTAGTCATATTTGGCCACTCTTGTTAACTTTTATATGTTACAGTCGCCGCCTCGTGGTGGGACAGCTACACGCTGCTGCACAAGCCGGGTGTCGGGGCTGGCCCTGCGAGGCAGCAGAGACGCTGACTCCGCAGGCCTTGTTTCCAGCGGTGCAGTGTAAATACAATATTTTTTATAATCGATGCTGGTGGGAAATCAGAAGAAAATGAATCTAGGAAATATATATTTATTTTCTTCTAAAATGTAATAAATTCTTGCCACAAAGTTACCAGTTTTGTCTTTGCAGGAAAAAGTTCTGTGACCCATTTTGTGGTGTTTCTCTTTAGGAGAAAAGCGCGGGGTCCAGTGTTGGTTATTTCTGCCCATGGCGGGGGGCGCGGGGCCGAGCCGCTTCTTGCCCCGGTCTCTGGCCGCGCGTCCGCGGGTGGCCCAGCCCTTGTCCCCCCTCTGGAGCCGGGGGACGCCCTCCTTGCTGCTGCCGGGCCTGCCTTCGCCCTCCCCCGCGCCAGGTCACCTCTTACAGCAGGTGCCCTGGAGCCCTCGCCCTCCCAGCCCTTCACTGCCCAGCTGCGAGCTGGGGGCCGCCCGGGCCGGCACTAGGCCTTCTGGTCCAGACTCCCAGCCGTGGCTCCGCAAGCTGCCCCTCCTCCCTGATGTGACCACTCGGCCTTCAGGCCGCCTCCACCTGCAGATGGAGGGGTGAGCAGGCCAGGCCGCCTCCAGGCCTTCCAGCCCATCTCTGAACAGAACCCCGAGGGGGCAGCCGGGCCACAGCTGGCCGGGGGCCGCTGCCGCGCAGCGTGGGAAGAGAGGATCCCGGGCACCCGTCCAGGCCAGGAGCTGGTGCAGGGAAGGGGCGCGCCGCTGGAGAGCCGAAGGACGGGGGGCGCAGGCTGAGGTTCCTAGCTGAGGCCTGAGGCTCCCAAACCAGAACAGTCGGAGCTCGAGCCCGTGGAGAGAGCCACACGGGTCTCCTGTGTCTCCACGGAGGAGGCGGCTACTCGCGGCCGAGGCTGCCAGACACCTGCCTCACCCCACCGGCTCTGAAGGCGCAGTGGGCACTCGGCACCGGAGCAGAAGACGCAGAAGCAGATAAACAACCGGGAGCACCTCACGTGGAAGAGCTTCCACGGTGGAAGGACACCAAGACCAGTCAGCCTCTGGAGTGGGCGCACATGCAGCGCCCTCACGGGGCAGCATCCAGGACCTTACTCAGTTTAACAAGAACCCCGATGGGCAGTAGCTCTGCCCAGACGGTTCTTCGGAGAGGATTCCAGAAGCGCAGACATGCAGGAAGCAGTCCTTGCCTCCAGTATGTCAGACGCAGGTCAGCACACGGAGAGGCCCCCCCATGTCCGTGGGGACACACCACCAGGACCCCAACAAGTGCAGGGGGTGGGGAGGCGTCCTGCCCCACTGCTGGCGGGACTGTGATCTGGTGCGGCCACCATGCAGAGTGATCCAGAGTGGCTTTAAAAAGCCGAAAGTAGAGGGGCCTCCTGGGGGCGCAGGGGTGAAGTCCCAGCACTGTCAAGCTATCAGCAGCCACTGCGGCCTGAGTCCATCCCCGGCCAGAGAGCTACCCACAGGGCAAGCAGACCTCTCCTGTCTCCCCGCTACCCCCCTCAGCAGTGGATTTCAGTGGATCCGCCTGTTCTGTCCCCCACTGTCTCTGGGGTATCCTCTCACCACCCCCCCGCATCTCTGGCCTGTACCCCACCCAGCTCTTGTGTGCATAAATAAATCAAATCTTTAAAAAAACTAAAAAAAAAAAAAAAAAAAAAAAGCGAGGCCGGCCCGTGGCCGGGTGGCGTCCAAGAGCCCCGGCCCACATAGCTGCCAGCAGCCGCGCTCCCCAGGCCAGCAGGAACCCACGAGCGTGGCAACAACGCTCCCAGGCAGGCGCCACGGGAGGGGGAGCAGCAGCCCCGTCCGGGAAGCAGCAAGACCCAGCACCCCGGCTCCGGGTCACCAGCGGGCGCCCGCCCAGCCCCGCGGGCACGGCCGGGGCAGTGCCGCCTGCGCCGCGTGTATTTTTCCTTTTCCGACCTTTCAAAAGGCTTGTTTGTCCGTGGATGCTTGTCATCTAGTGACAGCTTCAGGTACTCGCGGAGACCTGGCAGAATTTGAACACAAGAGGTGACAAAAGTCGGCCTCCCGGGGGCGCAGGGGCTGAGTCTCAGCCTGTCAAGCCGTCTGCAGCCCCCGTGGCCTGAGCTGGACCCCCGGCCGGGGCGCAGCGGACCTCTCCTGTCTCCCCACCGCGCCCCTCGGCAGTGGATCTGCCTGTTCTGCTCCCCGCTGTCTCGGGGGGGTCCTCTCACCCCCCTCACCTCTGGCCTGCACCCCAGCTCTTGTATGCTTAAATAAATACTTAAAGAAACAAAAATGGAAATTCCACGTGACCAGTGTCCCCCTCAAGGCACCTCGCCCAGGAGCACAAAGCCTCTGGCAGAGCTGCCCACTCTGCGTACTCAGCTCCAGGTGCTCCCTGCCAGCCGGATGGGTGCCCTGGGCCTGGCAAGGGGCAGGGAGACGGGGATCTCTATGCCGCGGGGTGTCCCCAGCCCTCAGGAAGATGAAGTCCTGCTCTTTACAGAGAAATGAAGGCGCTGGAGGGGATTCTGTGCAGTGGGGCGTGGGTGACAGGACTCTCTTGGACATGCTCATGGCACAGGTGGACACACAAGGGAGTGAGGCCTGGGGGCGGGGAGAGGGTCCTCCTCCCCCAGAGTGGTCGCCAAAGCGGCATCCTCTGACCTCAGCGCCGCTCGGTTCGGAACGAACACCGAAGGCCAGAAACTTGGACGTGTCCTGAGAAACAACAGCGAGTCCGCTGAGGGCCGCGGCGGCCGGGCGGGGCAGCAGCAGGCGTCAGGCCTGGCTGCACAGCGCCTTGGCCACGTCCCTTTGCCCAGCTCAGCCCTGCTGGCCCAGAGGGGAGTCTTGTTAGCGTCAGCGTCGTCCTGCCACTCGCCGCGGCCGGCATGTAGATGTTTGTTTTCGGCGTTGCTGTGAGGTCCGCAGGAGCCCTCGGCCTTCTGAGCAATGAGTGTTGGTTTCACCTTCAGAACAGGGTCAGGAGCCCTCCTTGGCGGCACAGGCTGCTAACGCAATGGCCGCAGGGCACCGCGCGTCTCCCCAGCGCAGCCTCGCAAAGCCTGCAGGACAGGACGAGTAAGCGCAGCCGCGCCCACCCTCTCACTGTGCTTCCTTCCTCTGGACACTGCGGGGAACCAGGTCTCTGGGGTCCGGCCCAGGAGTTGAGCCAGGGCACGTCTACCAGGGCGCGCCGTGACTGCGGTCACTCACACGTGACATCCGGATGGAGTCCCCAGGACCCACCTCTGGCCCAGCCTGTTGGGGCGGGACGCCAAGCTGACCGGGAGCCGCCGTGTCCCAGCGCTCTTGGGCACGTACATGCAGGCTCCGGGGACCCACCCCTGGAGCGGAAACGGTGGTGGCCTCCTCCCGCCCCAGGACCCGGGCTTCTGGGCCGCAGCTGGCAGGGATGGTGGGGGCAGGGGCGCCCCCCGCAGAGCCCGCCTGCTCCAAGCCCTGCAGGGCCCGGTTTTCTTCCACGCGCCCAGTCCACACAGGCAGCGCGGGCGGTGGGGGCTGAGATTGTCACGTCGTCCAGAGACACAAAGAGTCTGCAAGAGCCGTGAGGCTCCGAGAACCACCGCCACCCGCCGCACAACCAGGCCCGGAGGAGCCCAGCTGCCCACCGGCCACGGGGCCAGCAGCCAAGCCCTGCCAGGCAGCCAAGGCACGCAGGGGCGTTCACTGTGGGGAGAGCCCGGCACTGAAACGTGAGGACAGACTTGGTGGAGCAGGCCCCGGGCTTTGTGCTAGGAGGAGACGGAGGCCGCCTGATTTCAGAGTGACCAGTACAGGACCTCAGGCCCCACAGCGGAGGGGAAAGCGGGTTAAATTCGTGAACCCAGGGAGCAGAGACTGGGGAATGGGGATGGCGGACGCCTGCTGGTCCCTGCTCCCTGACAGCCTGGCCCGGCCTCCCCACTCCAGGGGGCTGCCTGTGGGGGTGCCGGCCCGGCCATCTGGGCTGCTCTTCCCTGCGGTGGAGACGCCGGCCCGCGCAGGCCCCTGGCTCACGGGACCACCAGCCCTCGGCCTCCTCCCGCCGGGCCGCCTCTCCTTCCTTGGGGCCTGGCCACACGTTGACGAGCACTCGCCATGGCCGCGGCCGTGGGGCCAGCCCAGGCCCTGGGCACCCCTCCCGTCAGCCCTGGCCCTCTCCTCTCAACAATGTCTCCCCGAGGCCAATGAACATTCACACAAAAGGCCTGGGCCTGCCGTGTCCCTGTCCACAGAGGGGTCCCCCACAGGTGGGTGGCTGTGGTGGGGGGGCGTGCTGAGTTTCAGAACCCTGGAGAGTCAGGTGCAGGAGCCGAGTCTGCCGCTGGCCAGTCAAGCGCCGTCTCCTGGAGGTTCCGGGCCCAGTGCCCCGGGGCTCCCAGGCTGTGGCGTCCGGCCCATCCAGCCACAGTGCAGCCCGCTGGGCACGGAGCCCCAACACGGGGGACTCGCCGGCCATGCCCTGCTGGCCTGTGCACCAGGTAGTGGGCCCTGCAGTGAAGTGCAGGGTCCTGGCAGGCTCGCAAGGCGGTGCCCATCACACTGGATGTTTCCCTCCCCCAGAGAGGAGCCCACCAGCGACCCCACCTCCTGCAGGTCCACCCTGCTCTCCATGGCTGCTGGCCAGACCCCACGCCCCACCACAGTGCGGCCGGCGGCCCCTCACTTGAGCCTGTGTCAAGGCCTCGCACTGGAGCCCTGTCAGCCTCCCCCGGCACCCGCAGCTCCATGGCATGGGGGACACCAGCGGGGCCACGTCTTAGGGAACCTCGTGAGGACTCAGGGTGGCCGGGCGAGACCCGCCAGCCACTGACCCAGGTGCCCGATCACCATCGAGACCAGCTTCCACCTGCACGGCAGGGCCTGGTGCCCAGATCCACGAGGTATAGAGGTGTGGGCCCCACCCGCCCCCAATGCAGCAGCGTCGCGTCCTATGCTCAGTCCAGGACGGCCACCCACCCTGGGGGCCCCCGGGATGGCCAACAGCCTCGAGGTGCCGGGATAACACCCTAGGGTGCTGGTGCCACAAAGGTGCCTTGTCCGGGCCGAGGGGAGCAGGCCGACGTCTGCTGGAGCCTGAGGTCTTGCTTCAGCCAGCAGATGAAGAAATGCAGTGAGCGGCCCCGCGGAGGAGGCCCGGCCTCAGCCACTAGCCTCCTGGCCCTGGTGTCACAGCCAGAGACCCCCAGCCAGGCCCGCCCGTCTGCAGCAGCCGCCCGGCCGCAGGAAGGAGACTGCCCTCCTCAGGCTTCCACGGTCACCACCGCAGGGGCGAGGAGGCCACTGGTGTTGGTGGGCTCTCAGGGCGCCACGCAGCCCCTCGCGGTGATGAGGGGCGCCCTCCTCGGCCCCTTCCCGCCTCGGGGGCAGACAGAGCCACGCCTCGCTTCCCAGGCTGCGCGTTTACTCTTAAAGTCGCACGAAACCACACAGAGGAAGGAAGCGCGTCCACGCGGCCGCCCCAGCGGGCACCCCTTTCTCGGGACCTGCGACTGGCTTCCTGCCGGCCTCTGCGGGCGCCCCGCCCGCCCGCCGGCCGCACCGGAGGGCAGCTGGCGCCGGTCTCCCCCGGCGGCGCGGCGGGCGCTACTAACGGCTCCCTGCCGGCTGCCCGGCGACGCACAAGCCCGGCCTGCCCGGGCCTGGGGGCCGGAGCCGCGTCCCGCTGTCCGCGGCGGCGCCGGGGCGACCCGGCCGGGCAGCCCCGCGCACAGGCCCCTGCTGCCGCGCGCCCGGGCTCCGGGGATCCGCCCGCCGTCCCGCTCTGGGAGCCCCTCGGGCCGCCCTCCCCTGCGCTGCACCCCGCTCTTCACGACAAATAAAGTGAATTTTTAGAACGTGAGCCTCGTCCTTGAGAACAACTTTGCCCTTGATGCCTTTCCAGACGTTACTCGGCGGCGCTGGGGCGGGGCCGGGCGGGGCGGGGCCTCGGGTTGGGGACGGGGACGGGCGGGGCCTCGGGTTGGGGCCGGGCGGGGCGGGGCCTCGGGTTGGGGACGGGGACGGGCGGGGCCTCGGGTTGGGGCCGGGCGGGGCGGGGCCTCGGGTTGGGGCCGGGCGGGGGGGCCTCGGGTTGGGGACGGGGCGGGGCGGGGCCTCGGGTTGGGGACGGGGGCCGGGGCGGGGCCTCGGGTTGGGGGCCGGGGCGGGGCCGGGGCGGGGCCTCAGGTTGGGGACGGGCGGGGCGGGGCCTCGGGTTGGGGGCGGGGCGGGGCCTCGGGTTGGGGACGGGGACGGGGCGGGGCGGGGCCTCGGGTTGGGGACGGGGCCGGGGCGGGGCCTCGGGTTGGGGGCCGGGGCGGGGCCGGGGCGGGGCCTCAGGTTGGGGCCGGGCGGGGCGGGGCCTCGGGCTGGGGACGGGGACGGGCGGGGCCTCGGGTTGGGGCCGGGCGGGGCGGGGCCTCGGGTTGGGGACGGGGACGGGCGGGGCCTCGGGTTGGGGCCGGGCGGGGCGGGGCCTCGGGTTGGGGCCGGGCGGGGCGGGGCCTCGGGTTGGGGCCGGGCGGGGCGGGGCCTCGGGTTGGGGACGGGGACGGGCGGGGCCTCGGGTTGGGGCCGGGCGGGGCGGGGCCTCGGGTTGGGGCCGGGCGGGGCGGGGCCTCGGGTTGGGGCCGGGCGGGGCGGGGCCTAGGGTTGGGGACGGGGACGGGCGGGGCCTCGGGTTGGGGCCGGGCGGGGCGGGGCCTCGGGTTGGGGCCGGGCGGGGCGGGGCCTCGGGTTGGGGACGGGCGGGGCGGGGCCTCGGGTTGGGGACGGGCGGGGCGGGGCCTCGGGTTGGGGCCGGGGCGGGGCCTCGGGTTGGTTCGGGCGGGGCGGGGCCTCGGGTTGGGGCCGGGCGGGGCGGGGCCTCGGGTTGGGGACGGGCCGGGGCGGGGCCTCGGGTTGGGGACGGGGGCCGGGGCGGGGCCTCGGGTTGGGGGCCGGGGCGGGGCGGGGCGGGGCCTCAGGTTGGGGACGGGCGGGGCGGGGCCTCGGGTTGGGGACGGGGACGGGCGGGGCCTCGGGTTGGGGCCGGGCGGGGCGGGGCCTCGGGTTGGGGCCGGGCGGGGCGGGGCCTCGGGTTGGGGACGGGCGGGGCGGGGCCTCGGGTTGGGGCCGGGCGGGGCGGGGCCTCGGGTTGGGGCCGGGCGGGGCGGGGCCTCGGGTTGGGGCCGGGGCGGGGCCTCGGGTTGGGGACGGGGACGGGGCGGGGCGGGGCCTCGGGTTGGGGCCGGGGCGGGGCCGGGGCGGGGCCTCAGGTTGGGGACGGGCGGGGCGGGGCCTCGGGTTGGGGACGGGGACGGGCGGGGCCTCGGGTTGGGGCCGGGCGGGGCGGGGCCTCGGGTTGGGGCGGGGCGGGGCCTCGGGTTGGGGCCGGGCGGGGCGGGGCCTCGGGTTGGGGCCGGGGCGGGCCTCGGGTTGGGGACGGGGACGGGGCGGGGCGGGGCCTCGGGTTGGGGGCCGGGGCGGGGCCGGGGCGGGGCCTCAGGTTGGGGACGGGCGGGGCGGGGCCTCGGGTTGGGGACGGGGACGGGGCGGGGCGCGTAGTGGGCGGGGCGGGGCCATGGGGCGGTGTCCCTGGCCGGGCTACGGAGGGCGCGCGCGGGTCCTCGGGGTGGGGCCGGCGCGCGGAGCGGAGCCGAAGGCGGGCGCGGGGCGGGGCGCGGGGGGGGCGCGGCGGGCGCGGGGCGGGGCCAGGGCGGCGGGCGTGTGGGCGGGGCTCGAGGCCGGGGGGCGGGCGGGCGTCCCCGGGGCCCCGCCCAGACGCCCCAGCTCTCGCGAGAGCAGCGCGGTGACGCGCGGGCGGCGCGCGGCGCGGCGCGGCGCGGCGCGGCGCGGGCGGGCGAGTTTGAATGTGGCCGGAGCGCGGGAAGCGGCGGGGCGGGGGCCGAGGTGAGCGCGCGCGGCGGCCGGGCCGGGCGGGGGGCGGCGGGGCCGGGGCCGAGGTGAGCGCGGCGGGCCCGGGCGAGGCGGGGCGGGGCGGGGGCGGCGGGGCGGGCGGCCGCGGCCCTCCGAGCCTCCCCGGGCGGGCTGCGCCCCGGGCTCGGGCCTGTCCTGGGCGCGGAGCCGCCGGCGTCCGCGGGGAGCGGCCCCGGGCCCGGCCGGCGCCTCCGTCCCGGGCGGCGGCGTCGGGCCAGCAGCGCCGCTGCGGGAGGGGCGTCGGGGCTGGGGCGTCCCGCCGGGGCGTCGGGGCGGGGGCCCGGAGACGCCGGCGGAGGCCCGGAGCCCCGGCGCTGCCCCCAGGGGCCGTGCGCGCGCAGCCGGCCGCTGACGAGCTCGCGGGCCCCGCGGGGCTCGTGCCGAGGGAGCTGCTCCCACGGGCCGGCCTCCCCCCGCGGCCCGTGCCGCGCGCCAGCCCTGGCGGGAAGGCGCGCCCGGAGGCTGCTGGAGCCGCGGGCCCGCTCGCTCGGGCAGCTTCGCGGGCAGTTGATGACGAGGTGACCCGCTGACCCCGTCGCGGGGCAGGAAGCGAGTCAGCGCGTAGAGGCTGCAGCTCGCCCTGCGGGGTGCTGGGCCCCTCTGCCTTGGGGTGTCGGAGCCGCATCGCGTCTTGCAGGAAAGGTGTATTTGCAAATGCGGGCGTCAGCGCGACCGTGTTCCCCCAGGGTCCCGGGGTAAGCGCCGCAGGAGCCGCGGTTTCCTCCATCATGGAGAAGCGGGAGACGTTCGTGCGAGCAGTGTCCAAGGAGCTCGTCGGAGAATTTCTGCAGTTTGTTCAACTGGATGTAAGTTTCGTGTTTAGCTTCCTTGTGGCTTTGGCTGTTAGTGTCAGGCGTTCTTCTGAAATCAGCGTGTCCACAGATGGGGTGCAGTCACCTCAGTGAATCCAGAGCCATCAAGGTTTACTTAAAAAAAAAATGGCGCTGTTCCCAGGTGGACCTGCTCTGGGCAGCTGCTCACAGAATGTGTTTCCTGCTTTGTTTTCAGAGAGCGGTGGGGTGTGTGTGAGTGATGAAATAACTTGCTTCTTTCTGCTTACAAACACCTGTGGCTCCTTGCTGTGTGCCCAGGGCGTGTATCCGTGCGCGCGCGCGTGTGTGTGTGTGTGTGTGTGTGTGTGTAAGGCGGGCACTTGTTTTGCCCTTAGGTTATTCAGTGTTGTAGTGGGTCTGGGTGGGTGCAGATCTGCAAGGCTTATAAAATGTATCCTGTGAATGTAGAAATAACCACATGCCCCCCAGGCCACACATCTGCAGGGAATGCCTGAGAGCAGACTGTGTAGACGTGCCGTTTCCTGTGGGTGACTTGGATTCGCCTGCAGTGCACACATGGTTTCATCTAAAGGCTGATGCTGCGAACTGCATACCCAAATGTTGACTGAAATCACAGCAAACTAAACCGACCACGATGAGCTGTTAATAGTAATTTAAATACAGAAAGCAAAACAGCCACATCTGGGAGGTGCAGCTAGCTCCAAGGTACCGGCACTGTGGCGACAGCACCTTTGAGGCACCATCCTCCCCCGAGCCCTACCTAAGCTGCTTGGCAGTGGGTGCCTGGGGAGTGCTGAGCCCCTGCTAGAGTGTCGGTTCACAAACAGCAGGTGTAGGCACACTTCACCTAGTGCCTCGGGCACCGTGCAGCTCTTGCCTAAACGTGAAAATGAAAATATTGTACGATGTGCGCTGCCTGGTGCGTCAACCCGAGTGCTGTGGCGTGCCCTCCTGCAGGAGGGGTAGTTCAGTGCTGTAGTGTCACACGGTCTGCCTGATGGGACTGAGGAAAAGTCTTCTTGTTTTAAAATGCCGTGACGCTGCCTGGGTGCACCCCCCAAACACAGTCCTTCCTGCTGTGTGGAATGATGCACTCCCAAAGCCCTGCTCGGCACAGTGTTCAGCAAGGACCCGAGGGCTAGTGGGCGTGAGGGGTATGAGGCATCGCTCCCACTTCAATGACACACCAGGAGAGAGCACCTTGTGAGAGCCGCGCTGCGGCTTAGACGCAAGGCCTGTGGGGGGTGGCACCGTGCTCTGCGGGCAGCTCTGACCCGGGCAGGAGAGATGGGAGTGACGGAAAGAGCTAGTTCCCCGGCGGGATCCCTCCAGCGCTGGCCATGCTTCTGCGTGGCCGTGTATCACCCCTGTGCCCTCAGCTGCCATCGGGCGATCAGGCCGACCTGCGCTCGGTGGTCGTGAGTAACCTTGGTGAGCCAGGCTTTTGGGCGTCTTTGCGAATGAGGGCTTTGTCTTCTTCAGGTCAGCATCCAGGAGCAGGTTACAGGGTTGCCCGGCAGTTTTCTTTTCAACTTTTTTTTTATAGATTTATTTATTTTTTATACAAGAACTGGGGTACAGGCCAGAGGTGCCAGGGGTGAGAGGACTCACCAGAGACAGAGTGGGAAGCAGAACAGGCAGACTGACTGAAATCCGCTGCTGAGGGGGACAGCGGGCGAGGCAGGAGAGGTCTGCTATGCCATGTAGGTATCTCCCTGGCTGGCTGGGAATCGAACCCACATTGCAGAGGCTGCGGACAGCGTCATAGCGCAGCGCTCAACCCGCTGCACCACCGGGGAGGCCTCTTTTCAACTTTTTGAGGCGCCTCCATAGTGTTTGTTCTCCATGGTGGCTGTGCGGTTTGCATACCCTCAGCTGTACCGCGGGTGACTTTCCTCCGCCCTCCAGCCAATGCTTGTTTCTGGTCTTTTTGTCTGTTTAATGTTGTTCCATCGACGTGACGTCGCTCGCATCCTGGTGCTTCGTGGTAAGTCGGCATCCATGCCAGGCCCTCACGGTCGAGGCTGTTCTCATAAACGTGAGCTGTTGCCTTGTGTGGCTCGGCCTCCATGCCCACGAGTGCGTCTCCTTGTGCCAGGCCCGCCTTCTTCTGACCGGGCTTTTCTTCGTGGCTGCTGGCTTGCGAGTCTCTGGAGGGGGCCCTGGTAGGTGTGTGACGTGAGGTGTCTTCTCTCATGTGGTGGTGCCTCTTGCTTGCGGTGCTTCCTTTGCCACGCAGATACTTTTTACTTTGATGTTTCCCTCACTGTGGGGCCACATCCCAGAGGCGTCTCTGATGCTGAGATCAAGGCACTGAGTGAGCCAGAGCGTGGATGTGAGGATACAAAGCAAACCAGCAAACACTGCAGCCCTTAGCCTGACCGCGCTTGGGAGGGGCGGGCGCAAGACGGGGCAGGCTTCTGTTTTGTCCCTCCCCATTGCCAGGGGTCTCGGCCCGCCCCGGCTTCGTTCTCCCACTGTCCTTGACCTCATCAGGGTGCTCTGCGGCCCGTCCCCTGCACTGCTGCCGACACTGGGCACTCACTGTCATTGCCACGCCCTGCTGGATTTTGTTCCATGGGTTACCATCCGGGACTGCCACTCCCGGTGCTCCGGCCACCCCAGATCACCCCAGATTAGCTGTGGTTTGCTCCTTTCAGCTGGGTTCCCTGCAGTCTGGTCAGGTTCTCTGCTTCCTCAGACTGGACAGGAGGGAGGTGCAGTGGTGATGAGCTCTGGGGCTGACCGGCCAGCAGGAGAGAGGTCTGGAGAGGGCCCTGGGCAGTGCGGGTGTGCCCCCTGCTGCTGCTGCTATCACAGTGGCTCCTGGGCACTGGTAGCCCCGTGGCCTGGAAAGGGTGGGCATCTGCACACACTGGTTTTTTTGAAAGGATTTGGCAAAGAGTGAGGTGCCAGGGCTGATGAGTGGAGGGATCTGCTGCTTTCTGTCCAGGAACCCCCGTGCTTTCCCTGGCAGGGATGGGTTTTGAAAACTACAGCCAGACTCCTGAACTAGCAGCCAAGTGAGCACTGGGACGTTTCCTTCGATGCAGTTACGAGAGGGATAGGCTGATGTTTTAATTCGAAATGTAACACGTGTCATTTATTTTACAGAAAGATGCTTCTGACCCTTTCAGCCTCTCTGAGTTGCTGGACGAGCTGTCAAGGAAGCAGAAGGAAGAGCTCTGGCAGAGGCTCCGGGGCCTGCTGACCGCGGTGCTGCTCGAGAGCCCGGTGGACGGCTGGCCGGAGGCGGCCCCGGGGGAGAGCGACGTGGAAACAGAGCACACGTTCAAAACGGTCGTGTCGCGCTTACAGAACTGAAAATTTTTCTTCTTGTGAAAAATGATTGTTTAATCTGTATAATTGATTTAAGTTGCGGCAAAATCTGATGTCAGGAGTTACAAGTATTTGAAGTCTGTGATCGCTTTCTCTTTTCCAGCCCTTTCTTTATAATCCAGTATTCAGCACTGATGTTCTGTTCAAACAGCCAACTTGTATCAACTTTGATTTGCTTTTAGAATGAGCTAGAGGTGTGGGCTTGGTTTTTTTTAATGTATTTAGTAAATTTTAAATTTCCTTAAACAATTGCTTTTTAAGTTGATTTAATTGTACTTTGATTTTTTTCACCCACAGAAAAATAACATAGAGATAATTTATGCAATTACCTCTGTGATCCTTGCCTCTGTGTCTGTGATAAACGAGAGTGAGAACTATGAGGCCTTACTGGAATGCGCCGTCATTTTAAACGGTGAGTGGACATGGTCACAGCGCGTGGTGCTCAGAGGGAGCCAGGGAGAGGCCTCTGCGGAGCTGGGTGCATGCGGTGCGACCTGCCTCAGGCACCTTTTCTTGCCCTGGGAAGGAGCAAAGGAGTCGCTTTTACAGGCTGCCCTTAATAACAGCCCTGACAGTGCTCGCTTCGGCAGCACATATACTAATAACAGCCCTGACAAACGGGTTTGCTTTGGCCTCAGCAGCGGTTGAGGGGGTGAGATGTGCTCTCAGAGCAGCTAACTGCGCCTCTGGGCTACTCGGGGGCTTGTGCACCTCCCCCAGCACAAGCCTGTTAGGGCGAATAGTACAACCTGGACTGTCGTAGCTGGTGATCAGCCCCAGAGTTGCCTGCTGACCACGCATGGTGACGTTGCATGTTCCCCTTACGTATGCCATCAGCGTGACTCGAGCAGTGATCGTTGACTCTTGGGGAAGTTTTACTCTACTAAATTCCTGTCTTACTATTTTTCAGGTTTTAGCTAAACTGAAATTGTAGTCACTAATTCAGAAGGAACGTTAGCCTGAGTTAGTGAGGAGATCTCATTATAAATTTGCAGGTGTGAAATATGTAAAGGTCATTTTAAGTAATGGTTTTGAGGAGAAGCCTCTGAACATCTCCCCCCCACCGCCGCCCTCTGGGAGTGTGTCCGACAGGCTCTCTTACTAAGCCTTTTGTTCTCGGGGCAACTCGGAGTTATATCTGCTGTTTCATTCAGAATTCTTGCCTGGAAATACATGCTTATTAAGAAGTTGCCTCTAATCAATATAAAAATAGCTTCCAAATGTTTTCTGACTGCTGCTGCTGGTTAGAAGCGTGACCACTGTCGAGGGAGTAGTGCTGATGCGGTCCTTCTCCCGGCTTCCCAGAACTTGGGAGCTCTGCGTTAGGCCAGTGGCACTCAGGTAGCTACAGGCTAGAGTGAGGAGCATGTTGTTAGTATTATTAGTTTTTCAACTTTTCTGTTAATGAAGTACCACAGCTTTATATTCATCATAATAGCTGCTTTTATTATTTTTCACCAATAAGCCAGAATTGGAGGCTGGTGTGTTGAGGGACTGAGGTGGCAGTATCAGGTCGTCAAGGCTGACTCTCTGGGGCTTCATGTGGCCCTGGGCATCCCCGACCTACCCTGGAGTAGCCCCGGGTCTGCCCACCGAAGCCAGGGCCTTGGGCAATGTTGTCTACCGGCGTCTTCTAGATCTAAAATTCTCTATTCTTTTGGATTTGCTTTTTAATAGTAGGAAAACAATTTTTTAATTGTCACCATTTGCATTCCCCAAATAAGGTGTATAAGTCTTTGGTAAGTTTAAACTGGAGTTTGCTTTAATGACGTCTCTGCGAGTCACAGTCGCTGCACTGTGGAGCCGAACCCACGTTGGTTACTCACCGACTGACCGTCACTGTGCTCTTTAGGGATTTTGTATGCATTGCCTGCGTCTGAGCGGAAGCTGCGGAGTTCTATTCAGGACTTGTGTGTCACGTGGTGGGACAGAGGCCTGCCTGCCAAAGAGGACATGGGGAAGACTGCGTTTGTCATGCTGCTGAGGCGGAGCCTTGAGACAAAAACAGTATGTCCACTTCCAGCAGCAGATACTTGCCTTGATGCTGGCGTGTCTGCGTGCACCGCACCAGCCGGGGTTGGCTTGCTTGCGAGTGGCCTGACTGCAATGTCTTCCCAGTTAGGGATTTTTTTTTTTTTTGCATGTAGGTGAACTGGGGTACAGGCCAGAGGTGGGGGTGTGAGAGGACTCCCCAGAGACAGGGTGGGGTGCAGAACAGGTGGATGAGGGGAGCAGTGGGAGAGGTCTGCTGCACCCTGTAGGTCAGCTCCCTGGCCAGCCGGGGATCGAACTCGTGCTGCAGGGGCCGCGGACAGCCTCAAAGTGCTGAGACTTAAGTTCTGTGCCATCAGGGAGACTCCAAATAAAATAGTCTCACAGGTAATTTGGAACGGGACCTTGCCATTTATAAGCAGCTTCTCATGTTCTCTCTCTTCGCGCTCCGCCAGGGTGCAGACATATGCCGGCTGTGGCGCCTTCACCAGGCCTTGTATTGCTTTGATTATGATCTGGAGGAAAGCAGGGAGATCAAAGACATGCTGCTCGAGTGCTTCATTAGCATCAGTTACATCAAGAAAGAGGAGGTGAGCGGCTTCTTTCTGGTTTGCTTATGATCTGCTTTCATTGCATGCTTTTGAATCATGTACGTTCTTGCTGAGGTAACGGTGTGCAGCACTCGGGGTGGCTGCGGGCTCAGAACCGCTTCCAGTGCTGGCTGCCTGTGTGCGCTTGCTGTGTCTGCACAGGCGGCCACCCCCTGGAGTTGTGCCTGTGGGTGGCAGGGTGAGCCGGCACTTGCAGCCGCCTCGCAGCCCGTCTTGGACGGGAGCTGAGGCCGTACTTGCACTGAAGGAAGGCTGGGAGGCCTGTCATGTGCCCGACTCCACTGAGTGGCATCTACCCAGAGAGTTTGGTGCACACAGGCCCCGGTTTCTTGCCCAGCACAGGTGGGGGTGCTTCTGGCTCCTGCTGCTCTGCGGGCCCAGCCCAGGGGCTGGCCTCTGGGTAAGCGCATGGCTTGAACATGAGTGTGCGGGGGCTGGGTCGTTCATCTCCTCCACCTGTGCCTGTCCAGTGGTGCCCCGGGTGTGTCGTGTGTGCTTCCTTGTGAGAATAGCAGCTTCTCCTTGCTCAGTGTCCAAAGATTGGTTTGTGTTTGATTGCACTGTTTTTCACTTACAGGGAAGAAGATTTCTTAGTTCTCTCTTCAATTGGAATGTAAATTTCATCAAAATGATCCATGGCACAATTAAGAACCAGTTACAGGGACTGCAGAAGTAAGTCTGAGCCGACTGTGTCGGGAGCTTCAGAGTGGCTGCGTGTTACACCATCCACCACGTCACTGCGTCCCCGGGTGTCACCGCGTAGCTTTCCCCTACATAGGCGGTCATCCTTCCCAGTAATGGCCGTGGAAATTCAGGTTTTAATTGGCAGTGTATTTCTTTTCTTTTCTTTTTTTTTTTTTTTTAAGATTTATTTATGTATGTATGTATGTATGCAAGCACTGGGTACAGTCAGAAGCGCGGGAGGGTGAGAGGATTCACCAGAGCCAGAGCGGGGAGCAGAGCAGGCAGAAGGACCGAAGGACACTGCTGAGGGGAGCAGCGGGCGGCAGGAGAGGTCTGCGCGCCATGTGGGACCCTCCTCCGGTGGCCGGGGAGCAGCCGGGGATTGAACCGGCGCTGCAGAGGCTGCGGGCAGCTTCGCAGCCCAGTGCTCAACCGCTGCGCCACAGGGGAGGCCCTATATTTCTTTTTTTTAAAAAGATTTATTTATTTATGCATACGAGAACTGGGGTGCAGGCCAGAGGTGCGGGCGTGAGAGGATCCACCAGAGAGAGAGAGGGGAGCAGAACAGGCGGATGTGGGTGAGCTCCCTGGCCAGCCAGGGATTGAACTCGTGCTGCATTGGCTGCGGACAGCTTCATAAGTTGCATCTTAACCCCTGCACCACCAGGGAGGCAATTGGCTGTATATTTCTAAGTAACTAAGTTCATTACGGTGGAGGCTGAACCTCAGCCTCCACCCAGGCCAGCCGCATCCCAGGCACTGTGAAGCAACTGAACGAGCCCGTGCCCCATGCTCCGGAGTCTGGAGATGCAGCCTGAGCACACCGGGAGCCCTTGCCCTGGAGGCACCCTGGTCCCTGGTGCCCACCCTCGGCTGTGAATCTGGCCTCCAGTCGCAGAGCTCCTCCTGCTGTCACCTCCCTCCACACACTTCTTTAAACCTCGATTCTAAGGTCCAGGGAATTAGTAGCCTGGAAAGTCCACAATGACTCCTAGTTGAAAAATTCATTGATATGTAAACATGTTTTACTTTAGAATTTGGTTTGGGGCTATGTTCCCGTGATTTCCCAGGAAACTGCAGCCTGGGGACACCTGGGCTAGGAAGCGGGAATTGGATTCCCCTTCGCAAAAAATCTTCCTTCCCCGCGCCAGCTCAGCTGGAAGCGTCTCCCCAGGGCTCTACAGAGCCTTGGTCTCGGCCCAGCCCCTCCTTCCCTGTGGGCACACCCAAGCTGGCCCTTGGTGGGGTGTGAGTCTTTACGCCCGCATTCACCTTTTTTTCTATAGGTCTTTGATGGGACACATTGCAGAAATTTATTTCAGAGCTTGGAAAAAGGCTTCAGGGGACATACTGGAGGTATTTGCATTTTATGAAATGTTAACTTGCAGTGGTAGTACGTTCTGGTCACTGAGTAACTGCTCTCAGAGGGTCACTTACACCTGGTGGGACAGAGCCAGTGGTGAGGGCCCAGTGGGCATGCGGGACTTTGTGGGCTTGGGCGCAGCCCAGGGCCCTCACAGGATGTGCGGTCTGGGTGAAGTCAGGGTTCCCCTGTGACTGGTCATCGCAGCTGAACTGCCAGCCACGTGTGGCTCTTGGGGTTTAACCCAAATTGGGCTGTGTGGTAAACGCGAGAGAGACTCGGCCTTGGATGTAGAAACCAAGAGCATAGAGCAGGGCGCCTTGTCTCCCGGGGCGGTGCCGAGCGTGGGCTGAGAACGCTGGCTGGCGGCAGTGTGTGCGCTTGGCCTCTTGGGCTGAACCAGAGAGAGCGTTCAGGTGCCTTTATCCACAACTTCTGTGTTGACACGGCCCCTGGAGAATGTGGCGTGCGCCTGGGCTTGCGCCCCGGGGCCGCGATGCCCGTGTGGAGGTTGCGCGTGTGGGTCAGTTGCATGTGTCCAGAGGCCATTTTGGCAAACCAGAGGAAGTATCTATGACGTCCCTGTGTCTTCCTCAGAGCCGGTTCTGGGGTGTTTTCTTTCCCTCAGAGTAAAATCTTCGCTGCACCAGAAAGGGGTCTCTGGAACCCTGTCTTCCTCCTGCATGTTTTGCTGTCTGGGGAACGGTCAGGCCCAGGGTGTAGGGGCGAGGCCGGCTGGGCCTTGTTGCCAGGGCCTCTCTGGCTTCTGCTTCCGGAAGACAAGGCCTGTTTGCGGGTGCTGACAGCTCTCGGAGTAGTGTTTGGTTTTCAGTTGGGGAAGTTTTATTCCTCGTTTTCTCAGAGGCCTTGTCCTCTTTCAGTTTTTCAGTGCACGATTTTTTTTAGGGGGAAAGGCAAGGTTAAGACACTGCTAGTGCATTTTTTTGTGTGACATTGTGACAGGAAACCTGTTCACAGGAAAGAGCGTCCTTTTTCTCCAATAGTGGTTTAAAAAATGGAGTTTATAATTAGAAACTTATTTTGTGCCAAATCTGTACCAGCAAGTTGTACTTCTCATTTTCTCTCCCTCCCTTCAAGTTTTTAAAGCAAATTCCAGATAGATTTCATTTCAGGGTGCTCCAGGGCGTCTTGGAGTACGGGGCTGCGAGATGCCATTGGCACGCCTGTTGCAAGTGACAGTAATTCTTGGGTGCCTTTATTTATTTATTTATTTATTTAATCTATTTATGCACACAAGAGCTGGGGTGCAGGCCAGAGGTGCGGGGGGTGAGAGGATTCACCAGAGACAGAGTGGGGAACAGAACAGGCAGACTCACCAAAGTACACCACTGAGGGGAGCAGCAGGCAGACAGGAGAGGTCTGCTGCGCCATGTGGGTAGCTCCCTGGCCGGCTGGGGATCGAACTTGTGCTGCAGAGGCTGCGGACAGCTTTAGAGTGTGGTGCTTAACCCCTTGCACCACCAGGAAGGCCCTCTCAGGTGTCTTTAGAAACAATCAGGCCACATTGAATTTTCTCTCCTTTGTCTCAGGGTGTCTTTTTATGGCTATTTTGGAGTCAGAATCCAGGGAGTCTCCCGAGGGCCTTTGCTTGCTATTTCGCTTATGTCTCTCGGAGTGGAGTGTTCTTCCCCTTCCTCCTCTTCATTTTCACACCTGCGCCAGGGCCTGCTGAGATTCTAGTCCTCTCGGCGCTCCTGGCTCAGGTGTCGGCAGGTGGGCCCATGGCCATCGGTCGTCCTGGCTGGCTGAGGTGTGAGTGCCCCGGGGGAGGGCATGCTTCTGCAGGTGATGGGGAGAGGTTGAGACATGGCTGCGACAGTGGCATCCTGTAGTCACCTGTATCGCCATGGGCCATCCAGGTGGGGCAGGGCCCTGGGCCACAGGCCACAGCCCCCAGGTTCCTGGCCCTTTCTTGGCTCCATGCTCCACTCCCCGTCACGCCCCTCCCTGGAAGACATGGCTCTGGTCAGTACTGACTCTTGGCCCAGCTGAGAAGTTGTGCGGTGTCCGTCTGGGGAGGGACTGAGGTTATCTGAGTCAGGGTGACATGGAAGAGTGGGCTCCCAGGCCTCGCACAGCCTCTGAGCCCGTCTGGCTTGGACCAAGCTGCCTTGCAGTCGGCACAAAGGTGGTGTTTCCTCGTATTCACACGGCATGTCAGCACTAAGGACTTTGGCAGGGTGTGGGTCGAGGGTCAGCTGGGCCTCCCAGAACGGAAGGTGACGGAGCAGGCTCTGTTCTACACGCCCGGCTCACTCTGCTGTTCTTCCAGACCATCGAGAACACCTGCCTCCAGGACCTCATGTTCCACGGGATCCACCTGCAGCGGAGGTCGCCGGTGCACGCCAAAGTGCGCGAGGTGAGCAGCGCCAGTCCCACCTTCCCTTGGCTCGGCGTGTCCTTGCTGTTGCGATCGTTTCCACGGAGGCTGTGCTTCCACAGGTGTCAGTGCGGGGTGTCTGGGACCTGACAGTCGGTGCCCGGCGGTCTGTCCTGCCACCGAGTTTCACCCGGGAGCCGGGGTGCGTGCTGGGTTGGAACCGGCCCGTGCTGACCCTGGTGCACGGGTGTCTGGACCGGGCCCTGCTCACTGCTGTCACCACGTTTCTCAAAAAGAGGGTGTTTGAGGATTTTTTGCCTTAATACGTGTAAGTTCCCATCTTGGTGTTCTGCAAACCAAATGGAATGAATGTTTTGAGTTTCTCTTGATAGATTTTGTTTTTGAGAGGTGCCCAGAATTCAGGTGGGTTTGTCCTTTTATTTCAGGGGCCTGACGAGGCCTCCAGGAGGACTCAGCCTCCTGACCCCACTGCTGGACTTGGGGATAACGTGCCGGGAAGCACAGTGTACTCTTGTAGGGTGAGGGTGCTGGTGCTTAGAGTGCATGGACCATGTGGGGTCGCAGTGGCTGTGAACACTCCTGACGGTGATGAGGAGTGGCTTGAGGCATGCAAGGATAAAGAGCCCAGAGAGACTCCAGAGTCCTCTGCGCCTGCGCACAGACAGCCGGTGCCGAGGCAGAGTCGCGGGTCAGCCCGGGGTCAGCATCGCGGTGTCCGGTCCCGTTGAGGAGCAGGCCGTGGGGAGGTGACGTGGTCGCTTCACTCTGGCCCCAAGTCACTGAGGACGCTCCTGTCTGACCTGCGGTGGCGGTCACATAACGAGACATGTAAGTGCAGATGTCACCACTCAGTGGCTTGTGGAGAAGTGCACAGAATTACAAGGAAGACCCTGGACGTCACTTACCGAGTGAAATGCGTCCTGGACTCAGGTACTGCACGGCGGCTTCCACCACACTCTCCTTCAGGTCGCTCTTTGATGGACATTTTTATGACTAAACGCCACTGACTTGTACACTGTGAGAGGGTGGCTCTCACGGCACTGCATCACAGGATGAAACTAAAAACCTGTGAAGTAAGGGCCCAGTGATACCAGCCTTGGTGACACCGTATGTAAAAAACAAGCTCTGGACTGATGTCACTTTTTGCCATCAGTAAAAGCTCCTGAGTAGGAATCAGACAGGAAAGTCCATGCTGCGCTGCCTTTTTAGAAGGTTGACCGTAGCTCACTTAAGGCACAGGGGGCTACTTACAGCTAACGTGTGACCGTCTTAGTTTTCCCGCTGTCACTGATGCTGGCTTTGAGGGTGAATCGAGGAAGGCAGCCCGGGGGTGTTGGAGATGCGCTTCCATGGAGAGCAGGGTGTGGCTGTGAAAGGGGCATGCATGAGAGCAGGGTGGCTCTCGCACGCCTGCGCCTGACCTGTGAGGCTGCGCCGAGCAGAGGTCACCGCCCCGCAGGGAGCCCTCCGGGTGCCTGCTAGGCCGCGAGGTTCAGAACCCCATGTTGCCCGGAGCCACGCGGGCCGAGCCCCAAGGCCATCTCCAGTGCGCTGTGTGGATCACCGCCAAGAGCTTAATCTCTGCTCAGTGGCATTTCACACCCCAGTCCGTATCCAAAAGCCACGTCAGCCTATCCTCAACACTTTTGGAGGAAGAGCATCAGAGGGGGAGGGGCAGAAAGCAGGGTCTCAAAAGCACTCCCACGGCCCACCTGTGACTGCAGGTGCTTCTTTTCACCAACTGTCTCCCTCTCGGGGCAGCAGCCTCCTGCCCGCCCGTGCCCTGTACCTGCCGGGGCTTCTCCTCACTGACCTCCTTAGTGGAGGCTGCTCCCCTGAGGGCCGCCCGCCTGCAGCCACCCAGGCCTCTCTCAGCAAACCTGTCTCTTTCGAGGCAGCTCGTCCTGCCCGCTGGTATCTATGCAGGTGTCTTTTACTCTTCTGTCCCTTTTCTAATAAACCTGCTCTTTAAACATCAAAAAAAAAAAAAAAAAGAAAGGAGGAAAGGAAGAGAAGGGGAGAGAAAAGAAAGCAAGCAGGGTCTCAGTGGGGGCTCCAGCTGTGAAAGACACCGGGCAAGGGTGGACGAGGTGGCGCCCACAGGTGGGTGGGAGGCTGCCCAGACACCTTCTGCTGCTGGCTTCTGTGGGCTGATGGACGCGGTGGGCCCATGTGCAGCCTGGCCTGGTGCTCAGGGCCTCAGCATCTTCCTGCGGGACTCTGCAGTCTGCCCTGGAAGTCCTCGTCTTCCTCCTTTCTCACTTAGGAAACTCAAGAGCTAACAGCTCAGTGCAGCTTGGGGGTGCAGCTGGCTTGCTCCCACCCTTCCACTCCACCGTGCCGGGAGGGCTGAGAATGGTTCCCCTGGGGACCAGCCAGTGTGTTCTAGAAGATTCCATGCGGAGGGTTATGGGCTGCAACTCCTCAGCGCATGGTCTCTTCTTGGCAGGAATTGTGGGGAGAAGCAGGACGCGCGCTGATGTCACAGGCTGCCTCTGGCATCTGGGCGTCCCTGGTCTCCTGCTGGTTGGGACTTGGTCCCCTTCCTGGAGTCTTGCTCGAGTGCATCGGAGTCTGGAGTTACCTGAGCGCGGGGCTTCCTGGGTGTGAAAGTCAGAGCTGAAGCTGGGCCAGCTGGTCATGGTCTGGGCGGTGCTGGGCCCCGGGTGGCAGGAGCAGCGGGCAGTGCAGGAGCCCACGCGGGCTGTTGTCCTCCTTGTGCCCTCATCTGTTTCCTTCGGATCCTGAGGTCAGAGGGCCATGGCTTTTTACGTGGCTCTGCAGCCGTTGGTTGAAGAACAAGAGCCAGAGCCCAGACCTGTGACAGTTCAGTTCTTGGATTCTTCAGACCTGATGTGACCAGCTGGGTTGGGCCGGGCCGGACGCACCCCTACTCTGGGAGAGCCCATCAGGCCTGGAAGCGCCAGCGTGGAAGCTTGACCTCCGCTGGCTTTGCAAAGCCAGGCTCCTCAGTGCATTTTTTTAAAGAACCACATTACCTTTCTCTTCTTTCTCCCTTGGCTGCTAGGTGCTGAGCTACTTCCACCACCAGAAGACGGTGCGGCAGGGCGTCGAGGGGATGCTGCACCGACTCTACCAGCCCATCCTCTGGCGGGGCCTGAAGGTGCGTGTCTGTGGGAACTGCACCCTGGCGTTGGGGGCTTGGGGCAAATGTTTAGTTCTTGGGTCAGAAGCATTTCTCAGGCTCGTTAGACTGGGAATCCGAGTTGCTTTAGTGCCGATCACGCCGTCAAAAGGCAGCAGGCGACTCAGTAACCCAGCAGAGGCATCAAGGCCCAGCCCTGAGGGGGCCCCTCAGCCACCGCGTAGGGTGGGTGGGCTGGGAGGTCACAGTGAGGGGAGGGTGCAGCCTGACAGGGTGGGTCCTGTGAGTGGGGGCCGTGTCAGCACCGGGGTCTCTGGCTGGTGGCGGCTGGTGGGGTCCAGGAGCCCTGTCTTCGCTGTGACCTGAGGTCCCTCCTGCTGCAGGCCCGGAACTCGGAGGTACGGTCCAACGCCGCACTGCTGTTCATCGAGGCCTTCCCTGTCAGAGACCCAAGCTTCAGTGCCGCCGACATGGACAGCGAGATCCAGAAGCAGTTCGAGGAGCTCTATGTAGGTACCCTGGGCCGCCCGTGCAGTGCGCTCCTGCGGCAGCGCCGTCCCTCCTCGGCTGTCCTGTGCACATTAGCCCTTCGCTCTTTTAAGTGTTTGGTGTCCCTTCCAGCAGAGAGGCTGAGCCTCAGTGGCTGCCGCAGTCCCCGGGGTGGGCTCCACTGTCACGGAGGCGCCTTGGGGACGTCACTGGCTTTCTGTCTGTCCGTGGCATGGGCCGGCGTCCCACCCCCTGGGAGCTGGGGTTGGGGGAGCAGCACTGGCTGCGCCCCAAGGGGCGGTCACCCCGCCTCGCTCGTGTGGGGGTGGCAGGCCGTGCGGCTGCTTCTGGCTGGGTGGTCTGCAGGCCCAGGGTAGTCGCCCTGTGTGTCTCGTTCCAGGAGCTCGAGTGACTTTCTCGAGCTGTGATCTTAGTGCCAGGCACAGGGCGGCGGGAGTGTGGGTGGATTCCAGTCTCTGGACAGGGCCTCGGGTTCTTAAAGTGATCTCCGCAAATCATGTGCCTTCACTTTCGTTCCTCTCATTGAACGCAGGGTGGGTGACTGGGAGCTGCGCCACCATCTGGGCTGATGCCGGCCGGTGCAGTTGCTGCGCCCACTTGCTGGGCTCTGCCCTGCCAACAGGAGCTGGGTGCACCCGGCCGGCAGGAGTTGGGGAGACGCCACCACCGTCTGGGGGGCACATTTTGGCACTGGGCTGTGGATGACGATGGCCAGAGGCCTGTCGGGCTCGGCGTTCCCGCCTAGGCACTGACACCTGTAGACTGCACAGGGTCTCCAGCCACTTCCTTCCTGCTTGCAGGGCCTTTTAGAGGACCCTTACCCGGTGGTGCGTTCCACGGGGGTCCTCGGCGTTTGCAAAATAACGTCCAAGTACTGGGAGATGATGCCTCCGACCATCCTCATCGACCTCCTCAAGAAAGTGACCGGAGAGCTGGCCTTCGACACCAGCTCCGCCGACGTGCGCTGCTCCGTGTTCAAGGTGAGCTGGACGCATCACAGGACCCACGCACTGTCAGGTTTCAGGTCCCACGGCCCCGTCTCAGCACTGCAGTGCTGCTGGTGTTTCACTGCGCATTCACGGTAACCTCAGAAAGCAAGTTAAAGGTGCTTTCACAAAAGGCCTCCTTGGACAGGACTGGTTCTCGGTGTGCAGCAGCATCAAGTCACCCTCTCTGTCCACGTCTTGGGGAGAAGCCGCACGGGCTGGCTGGGAGACGGCTGTAGGTCTGCTGCGTGGCCCCTGGCTCTCTGCCTCGGGGCCTCGTCCCCTGAGGGTGCTCAGGTCCTCGCCCTGCTCAGGAGCCTATTCTTCTGTCTGGTCCCTGGGCCAGCAGCTTCGGCTGCTCGGGCTCTTCCCACGAGGGCCTGCCGAGTGCCCGGCACTGCCCACACAGAGGGGCAGCGTGGTAGCCTTCATTCCTTGTTGTTTTATTGAGATGTGATTGAAGTGCTGTTTCGGCTACAACACGAAGGTTCGAGGCTAGTTGTGAGGTCGTAGTCACACCAGCGCTGCCGCCACCAGTAGCTTAGCTTGCAGGAACAGCTCGCCAGAGTCCTGGCCTGGCAGGGACCATGACTGGACGTTTGGCCGTGGTGGGTGCTCATGGGTCTTTCTTTCCCTCTGCTGCTTTGGTGATAAAGGTATGGGGGGGCATGGCGGGGAGCCGGGCTGTGGGAGGGTGCTGCTGGGAGAACCTGGAGCTTCCGCCTCTGACTGGCTCTAGGCTCTCAGCAGACTTCGCCCTCAGAGAAAGGCCTGGACCCTCGCAGCCCGTGTGTGCCCTTCCTGGCACCTCCCTGTGGCCCCGGGACGCTCCCAGGAGTTCACCCCACGAGTCAGGGTCCTTCTTGGGGGCTGGGGGTCTTGAGCCACGCAGCACAGCCCCGGGCGGGGCCTCCTCCAGGCTGCACTCCCCGCTGTCTCCCACACCTCCTCCCCCACCCCAGGAGGAGGAGGGCTCAGCAGAGTCCACGGGGGCGTGGGGGGCCGAGTGGTTGTGCATGCCAGGGGAGTGTGTTGGGGGGCTGGTTGTGGTCCAGGCTGGAGGGGCTGAGGCAGAGAAGGGGAGGCTTTGCGGTGTTCTAGGATAACTGTGTGCTTGATGTTTTAAAAAGTTATACGTTAAAATTAATTTTTTGATGTACAGTGTGTACTTTTAATAAGAACCCCAAATACCCTGCCTCCCGTCACCCCGCCTGGCGCTGCCACACGCCAGCACCTCCCTGCCTGCCTCGAGCCTACTCGGAAGCTCCAGACACCTCAGCCCTTGGGCGCAGTCCTGGCGGCTGGACGGGGTTGAGGGGATGCCTGGGGTAGAGACCTGGTGCCCAAGCGCAGGTGTCCCTCGGCACCACCCTGGGCCACATGGAGACAAGGCCTGTGACAGGCCGGGCCTCTGTGCTCAAGACTCGGGGCTGTCAGACAATCACGAAGTGACTCCTGGACCAAGCCTCGGAGCCCACCCTAGCAGCAGTTGTTTCTTTCGACTCTAAAAGTCCCTGATCAGTTGGCTGAGAGAAGCTTTGAGAAACTGTAACTGCTTTGACATTGTTTGAACGGGACTGTGGATGAGCTCATTAGGGTATTTCTTATATGAAAGTTTTGGGAAAGTGTTACTTTTTGAAGGTATGTTTGTTTTCCTAATAGTTCTAGAAAAGACACAGCTAAATATTTTCTTTTTAAAAAAGATTTAAAAAGATTTATTTATGCATGCAAGAGCTGGGGTGCAGGCCAGAGGTGCAGGAGGGTGAGAGGATTCCCCAGAGCCAGAGCGGGGGCAGAACAGGCAGACGGACTGAAATCCACTGCTGAGGGGAGCAGCAGGGAGACAGGAGGGGTCTGCTGCTCCCTGTGGGTAGCTCCCTGGCCGGCCAGGAATCAAACCCGTGCTGCACCGCTTCACAGCGCTGCGCTCAACCTGCTGCACCACCGAGGGGGCCCCTAAATGTTTTCTTGATTGAGTTTTTCTTACCAGAGTTGTACTGTTTATGTTCTGACTTTGTGCCCCTGGTCCTTCTCCCCCGTAGTGCCTGCCAATTGTTCTGGATAACAAGTTAAGCCACCCGCTGCTGGAGCAGCTCCTGCCAGCGCTGAAGTACAGTCTCCATGACAACTCGGAGAAAGTGAGGGTGGCCTTCGTGGACATGCTGCTGAAGGTCAAGGCTGTGCGGGCTGCCAAGGTGGGCTCGGCCGCTGCTCAGGCTGTTTCCCCCACAGCAAGAGTCGCCACCTGCCCAAAGGGGGCCTGTCGGTCGGGGCAGTGTGTCCCGGCCCGGTCACCAACTGCTCGCCGCCACATTTTATTTGCTCTGTGGTTTTCACTGACATTTCTCGAAACATCACCATGTGCGCTTTTCTTTTTTGAGAGACCTCGTGCAGGCCGCCCCGTCGCCGTAAGTGGCTTTTGTCACGTACTTGAGGAGCTTTGCTGGGGCCCCTCAGCGCTGGCTCAGGGTGAGCACTTAGACGTCAGCGGGAAACGTGGGCTGTGGACGGAAGCTGGGGTGCTGGGGTAAGGCTCTGAAGGGGGTTCTTCGTTATGCTGGCTCTTCCCCGCGCTCGGCTGAGAATGCTCGTTGTAAGGTTCGCGAGTCTGTCACCCTTGGTTACTGTGCATTTTCTTTCTCCGCACAGTAGTTCTCTGAAATTTATTTAAAATGCCGTTTTATCATGGTGAGGACACGCCCCCAGGGCCAGCCGCTGGACATGGAGTGTCCATGCAGCAGATGCTGCTCTGAGACCATGTGCCCCGGCTTGGGGGAGCTGCTCAGACATCAGCCTGTGAGCCCTGAGACGTGGGGCATGGTGTTTCTGCGTTAGACAAACCCCAAGAATGCTGCACCCCCGCACTGAGCTCAGCCCCATGTCTGCTGAGGATCTGATGTGGTCACTGTCCCTCTGCAACTGGTCCTCGGGCCTGGTGGGCAGCCTTCCTGCTTGTCTGTAGCCTCGGGCCAGCTCTGCTCTGACTTTGGAGCTCTTTGTCCTGCTCGGCTTTCCATGTCCCTGTCATGTCAGCGTCGCCATGTCCATCTTGCCCAGAGCCAGCTGCAGTTCTGCGAGGTTTGTCAGGACACCCCGTGAAGGCCGTCGTCTCGAGTCTGAAGAGAAATGGGAGGTCAGCCTGTGAGAGAGGGCTCAGCTAGGGAGCCGGGAGAGGGCAGGGCAGACGGGACCAAGGTGGCCCCTGGGCTGCCCCGGGGTGCCGCAGCGACTACAGGAGCTGCTGTCCATGTCCATGTCTGCAAATCCTGGCAACGTGGCCACAGGCCCAGAGAGCTGCAGCGCTGGCGCCAGCTGAGTCTCCTCCAAGAGCAAGGGCAGGGGCTGCTGGCCTGTCTGTGGAGAGCACCCCTGAGGGCAAGCTCCCGCCTGGGGTGCTGGCAGGCTCTGCGCCCTCAGCCACCAGCCATGCTGGGCACTGGTGGGCATGTCTGTGGGTGGGACCCCCACAGCTGGTGGGAGTGCCCATAGCCTTCCCCGTGCACCCTGAGTGTGGAGCCAGCTGCCAGCTAAACTCAGGACCAGCCTGGTCTGAGCCTCGCACGTCCTGGCCCGGGGCTGACACATGGCAGGTAACAAAAGCTAAGGACACACGATGGCATCTTGTGGCAAAGAGCAGTTTCTGGCTGGGCTAATCAAGTGCTGAGGATGTTTCAAGGCTCACCTTTGCACTCCTTGTGTGTCTGGGGTGAGGCTGGATCAGCAGTTACTGGTGTTGAAACGTTTTTATTAAGGAATCAGAAAAGCCTCTGGGCCCTTAATGTGCAGCAGCAACTCGAAGTGATGTGGCCCAGCCTTGGCCGCGGCAGGTGTCAGCCCGCAGGTGGCCTGTCTGGGTAAAGGCCCCAGATGACTGAAGCGGGAACCTGAGTGATCACAGGTGCTCTGTGATCAGAGACGGGGGTCAGGGCAGTGAGCTGCAGCTGGGACTCTCTGGGTGGAGGCAGTGCCGCCATCCATCTTGGGGGCGTGCGAGGCCAGAGTGTGGCTGCTGTCCACTTCAGGGTGAGCCGGCCTGGCCGCTCCTGACTGTCCCATTGCTTTGATTTCCTGTGTAAAGCAGTGGCCGAAACCCCCCAGGAAGGGGCAGGAGCGACAGGAATATCCCAAGTGGAGTTTTGGGGGGGTCTGCTCTTGGGGTTGCAACCATGTGAACAGACTCAAACACCGCTGACAAGAAAGATGCCTTGAAGATGCTGACAGAGGGGACGTCGGTCAGTGCCAGTCCCTGGGGAGCACGGGGCCTTCCCCAGGCGCTTGCTTGAGGTCACCAGCGACACCCACCCAGGCAGGATCTGGCCAGGTGCCTCAGCGCCACCTTCTGCTTGGCGGCGTTCCCCCACAGCAGTTCTATGCTCGCGAGGTTGCCCTTCCCGCCGGTGAAGGCCTGATGCCCTCGCAGTCGCCCGAGGGGGCCGGGGCAGTGTGCACTCTCAGGCCTGTGCCTGGAGCCGGGCCAGGCAGCCGGGGCTTCTGAGGGAGCTGCTCCTCCAGGCTCGGGGCTCCTGGGCCTGCTGTCCGCACGCTGGTGCATCACTCGCTCGCTTGCGCGTTAGTGGGCCAGAGTCCCGGCATTCTGGGAAACGTCTGTGTCATCACACTGCGCAAGCAGGTGGGAGGCAGTCACGGTGAGTCCTCTCAGCACCTGCACCGTGTGCTTCAAATTCAGGCGTGCTTCCCTACAGAGAAGTCAGACCCTGTTGTGGTTGCTTGGAACGACTCTTCTGGGGTGTAGCGATTAGTTCCTTTCTCATTTAGCTCTGGGAATCGCACATGAGCACCTTCAGGGCCTGGGTGCGCTGACAGTGTCGGGTCTGTGCTTGTATGCAGTTCTGGAAGGTCTGCCCTATGGAGCACATCCTGGTGCGTCTGGAGTCGGACTCCAGGCCCGTGTGCCGGCGCCTGGTGAGCCTCATCTTCAACTCCTTCCTGCCGGTGAACCAGCCCGAGGAGGTGTGGTGTGAGCGCTGCGTTGCACTGCTGCAGATGAACCCCGCGGCCGCCAGGAGGTTCTACCAGCATGCCCACGAGCACACGGCCTGCACCAATGTCGGTATGGCCCTGCGCGTCTCACCAGCCTGGGCACCATCGCTTGCTGCTGGGAACTTTTGTGGAAGAAACACGTCAGTTCACCCCTGATTCTCTCACGTTGCAGCTAAGCTGATTCACGTGATCCGCCACTGCCTAAACGCCTGCGTCCGGAGGGCGCTGATGGAGCACCACGAGGACGAGGAGGAGCGGGAGAAGGAGAACGTAAGCGTAAGTGGCCCCGGCCTCCATGGGCGTGGGAAGGGCCGGCTGAGTCGGAAGCGCTTCCCAGGGCTGGTGTGTTAGGGCCAGTCCTGCTCCCTCCTGCTCCTGTGGTGTTGGCCCCCAGATTACCTGGTCAGAACCGTCGCAGGAGAATTGCTGCTTGTCTTGTGAAGTTCACTTTGGCATTGGGTGGTTGGGTAGGATCGCAGGAGAATTGCTGCTTGTCTTGTGAAGTTCACTTTGGCATTGGGTGGTTGGGTAGGATCTAGTGCAGAGGGCAGTTTCTGCTGGGGACAAGCTGTCCCACACCTCTCGGGCGGGCTCCCTCGACGCCGCCGAGAGGGTTGGCTGGGAAGGGCCTGGAGTTCTCTTTCTGGCAGCGAGCTTTATGCAGGTTCTGCTTTAGAGAGTGTTTTATCAAAAGTCAGTCGTCAAGGGGACTGTTGGGCTCTTTAGAGTCCAAGTGACCAGTCACGTCATGGGTGAACGTCTGAGAGCAGCCACACGTCCAGCTTCTACACAGCAACTCGCTCCCGGAATCTGAAGTGAAAGTGCAGCTTGCCCGGTCGTGCCCAGAGAGATCAGGACACTGGCTTTTAAAAGGAAGTCACAAAAGAGAACTGACCCTTTTGCTGGAACCTGGTGCCCTGGGGGCCTGTGGGGTGAGGCCTGGCCACGAGTCCCCCAGGGCCCGTCCGCGAGCCCGCTGGCAGGGTGGATGTGGCTGCCCAACAGAGCAGAACGCGTCTTGTGGCGTAGTAGCCGAGAGACCGTTAGGTTTCTTAAATTCCGAAGGAGCCCTCCACCACCCCTGATTAAAGAACTGAGCTATAGAGCGCGAGGCCTCTTGTGACGCTTGGGGCCCAGGTCTGTGCCATAGAGACGATGCTTGGCCTGTGCATGCTGGGGGGACGCACAGTCTGCTGGGGCGCTCTCCCCACGGCTGCGCGGGCAGCGCGGACATCCAAAGGGTCTTGTTTTGTTTTTTACTTACTGCTGCCTCCTAGAAAGCACAGTGCTTCCTGCTAAAATAAAAAGTTTCCTTTCTTTTTGAAGGATTAGGCCTGGTGCACCCCCTGCTCCTGAGCCCCGCGGGGCTTGGCGTGCTGCTACCAAGAAGCCGTGGTTCTCGTGGGGCTCGCCGTAGGGCTGCAGGCTTGGACTTGGGTGGTAGAAGTGAAACTTAAATGGAGGATTTGTGGATCTTGCAGTATTTTCTAAGCCTTTGGTAGCTTCACTGCTTTTAAATTTGCTTGGTTATAACTCAAACTTAAGTGCCTACTGAGAGCTCTAACTTCGTACAGAATTGACTTGACTTTTTTTTTTTTTTTTTTTTTTATTCATACAAGCACTGGGTACAGTCAGGAGCGCGGGAGGGTGAGAGAACTCACCAGAGTCAGAGGGGGAGCAGAGCAGGCAGAAGGACCGAAGGACACTGCTGAGGGGAGCAGCGGGCGGCAGGAGAGGTCTGCGCGCCATGTGGGACCCTCCTCTGCCGGGGAGCAGCCGGGGATCGAACCGGCGCTGCAGAGGCTGCGGGCAGCTTCGCAACCCAGCGCTCAACCGCTGCGCCACCCGGGAGGCCCTTGACTTGACTTTTGTGGGTACCCTCTTCATTGAAGCTTCTTTTCTCCCCAGTGCAGTAGGGAGTTAGCCCAAAGGTACCAGTTCCTGAAATGAAGCACTTGGCACCTCAAGGCAGCGCCCTGAAGGCCATTTCCTGACAGTCACTTGCAGGTGGTCAGACTGTCCTTGAGCGGTCACCAGACTCCCTGTGAGCGGACCTGCCGGGCCGGGCTGAGCGGCTTTGCCGTGTATAGCCGGGTGCAAGAGCCACCCCTCACCCCAGTCTCAGGCCACCAAGGCTGCGCGGGCAGCGCGGACATCCAAAGGTCTTGTTTTGTTGTTTTTTACTTACTGCTGGCCAGTCTCAGGCCACCGCTCTGCAGGAGAGGGGGCTTGCTGGGGGCATTTGTGGTTTACTTTTTTTTTTTTTTAAGATTTTTATTTTTTTAATTTTGCGTAGAAGAACTGGGGTACAGGCCAGAGGGACGGGGGGTGGTAAGAGGACTCACCAGAGACAGAGTGGGGAGCAGAACAGGCGGGTCCACTGAAATCCACTGCTGAGGGGAGCAGTGGGGAGACGGGAGAGGTCTGCTGCGTCCTGTGGGTCAGCTCCCTGGCCTGGGATCGAACTCAGGCTGCAGGGGTGACAGCCTGAGGCTCCACTCCTGGGCCCCAGGGAGGCCCGCATTTGTGGTTTAAGCTAGCCGTGAGGAGGTGAGCGTGTTGCTCACGTGCCAGCATGGGCTTGGAAACACAGACGGGGTGGTCATTTTAAAACAAGCCCGGGAAGACGCGTGGGAGTGGGGTCGGTCATGGTGCCCGTGCCGGGGCTGTGCCCACTGGGCCCCATGGGGCTGCCGGCCTGCCACAGATGCTTCTTGGTCTGATCTCGGGGGCTGCAGTCACATCTCAGTAAGTTAAGGTTTCTGTCCTCCCCCAGGCCCCTGTCTCCACATCCAAGCTTGTTGGAGAAGCAGCATCTTCTAGCAGATGTGAAGGTGGAGGGAGGGAAGCAGCCTCTCCTGCTGCCTTGGGGCCTCGGTGGGGACCACATGCAACTCGTTCATTCTGAGCTTCAGAGGGTGTTTTTGTTCGTATGGACTGTGTATTTACGGAATCTAAAATAAATTTAGAATGTATCTCTTGGGTGAGCTTTAAAAACATACTTTAACAAGGATTCCCAAAGTCATTACACTTGATGTCCTTTACGTTTTCGCTCTAGGTCTAGAATTCTGCAGTGGGCTTTTAAAGGTAGGGCTGTTATCTGGGCTTGTGGTTTGAGTCTCTCACAATAGAACGCTTGTCTCTTAGGTTCTGGACAAGACACTGTCAGTCAGTGATGTCGCTTCCATGGCTGGCTTGTTGGAAATTGTTGTGATTCTCTGGAAAAGTATTCACAGAAGTATGGAAAATAACAAAGAGGCCAAAGTTTACACCATCAACAAGTTTGCCTCCGTGCTGCCTGAGTACCTGAGAGTGTTCACGGTGAGTGTTGCGCGCCCGAGGTCGTGCGTCCCACGCCTTTCCTCCCGAGGTCGCTCCTCTCGTGCCGCGGACCAGCACAGCAGTAGACGATGAGGCCACCTCAGGGTTGAGAGAAGCGTGCAGGGTGGTCAGGGCGTCGGTGAAAGAAATGACACACAGACACACTTCAAGAGTGAAAATCTGAGTGTCATTTTCTTTGAGTCTGTGACCAGTATATATATGTTTTCCAAAAGCACAGGAATGAATATCAATGAAATCAGCTTGCTCCTGGGCTCAGTCTATCACCATCAGGGAGGTGATCTACATAACAAACAATGACCATTATAGAAGAAGGAAGTTTAGAAAGACAAATAAGGGATTAAAGTTTGTAGTTCTAGAAAGACCGGATAAGATTTTTAGCATTCTTGTAGTGGTTCTTGGTGGTCGTTATCTTTTGATAAGCTTCTGCCTTTTCAGGGAACTTCCGCTGAACTTCCTCTGCTTCAGGCTGTTCTCCCCCTGGCTGGTTGCCCAGCCAGATCTAGGGACCATGGCGAAAGCCATTCCTAAAGATCACTGCGGGGGGGAGGTGCAGCAGGTAGGGTTTTGCTGTTCTTCCCCTGCGCGCTGGTTGCCCAGAAGGTCACTGCAGGGGGAGGTGCAGCACTCTTGGCCAGCTTTCTGGCAGGAAAACCAGGCGTCCAGCCGGCGCGTTGCCTGTGGGGCAGGGTCTGCCCACCTCCCTAGGGTCTCTGGGGCCTGCAGCCCTGTCCTAGCGCCTGCCACGCTGGGCATTCGGCGGGGAGGGGCTGGCCACCGCACACAGCAAGTGCATCTGTCTTGAGACGCTTAGCCCAGGCGTGGGGCTTCGTAGGGGTGAAGGAGGCCTCCCTGACTCTCTGCTCAGAAGGGAGTTCACATTTAACAACAAATAAAAATAAGACTGATGGCTGGAACTATCATTTTATTCCTAGTTACAAAGAAAGCGTGGCTTAAAATGGAAAGACTTGCCATGAATTTTCACCCCGCTGGGGACCGGGTCTCTGTGCCTCGTCGGCATGGTGGCGCCGTGACATTGGGGGACCTGCTGTGCTGCAGGGTCCCCTCAGCAGCAGGGCGGAGCAGGTGCTGCAGCAGTGGGAGGCCGGGCATGGCCGCTGGGTGCCTCCCACTCAGCGTGCCAACCACCGCGTCAGGTTTTTTTGGTTAGTTTTATTCTCTTGAGCTTTACCTTCAGGATGCCAAGTACACACAGACTCATGTCTCCTTACCCTCGTTCCTGCCAGGCGAGTCCTAGCGCGGGGTGTTAGGAGCTGCATGGGGGCCCGGGGGCCCTCCTGTTTACACACCCCCGTTTTGTTTTCCTGTTCGTGTTGCAGGATGACCGCTGCAAGACGCCCTTGTTCATGCTCATGTCCTTCATGCCCGCCTCTGCCGTGCCGGCCTTCAGGTACCCACACGTCGGTGCAGCCGCATCCCTGGTCTCGGGCCTGCTGACCCTCAAGTGCAGCAGCCTCCCGGCCAGCCCCGCCCTCCACCGCGGCAGGAGACCGCGGTTGCCCTGGCCCATGTCTGGAGCTGCAGAGACAGCTGCTGTGCATGCTGGGTGCCCCGGCCTGGGACCCGGCGTGAGGAGATGCAGCAGCCGTCGGCAGTGCTCTCCATCCCTGCATTTTAGAACGCCACTTTGGATAGATCGGGTTAAATGAGGAAGTTGTTGAGATTAATTGTGTCCATTTCTTTTTATAATGCGGCTACTAGAAAATATAAAATGAGGTGGTGGCCTGCTTTTGTGGCTCGAGACTTAGTTTTTATTGGACACTGTTACTGGAGTTTTGGTTACTATCTCTGTAAAAATTACTTCTTTTTTGTAAAAAAAAAAAAAAGTTTTGATGCTAAATAGAATTTGTTTCCCCCAGATTAGGACTCTTTGTGCTTGAGTCTAGCCACGGCAAACGCAGCCCTGGCATGTGCAGTGGCGGGTCCGTGGCTGGGTCCTGGTGCCGGGCTGTGCTGGCTTCAGTGCCCTGAGCTGCTGGAGTTCAGAGCCTTGAGCTTGGACTTAGCCCCAGGGTCCTGCGAAGTGGGGTGTCGTGGAGGGCTGGGGTCTGTCTCATTCAGTCTCTTCACCTGCCCCTGCAGCACGTAGGGCGTTGTGGTTGCGACACCGACCTGACCTTGTGCACTTGGCATTCCAGCGGGGGTGTGATGTCCACGCTGAGGGACCAAGAGGAGGGCGCTGCAGACAGGGCATCCTGCACCCTGCTGGACTGCCTGTGCTCCTGGGGACACGTGGGGCGTGTACTGGAGCTCCTGTGCGACTGGCTGCCCGGAGAGCAGCCCCCCGGAAAGGTGCTCGCCCCCCGCCCCTGTGCAGGTGAGGGTCTAGCTGGTGGGCTGCGTCCTGACCAGTGGCTCTTGGTCTCGCAGGGCAATTCCGTGTCGAAGCGCAGAGCCAGCGCCCAGGACACTGGCCCGGTGAAGCCCGAACTGGCGCTGGTGTACCTGGAGTACCTGCTCACGCACCCGAGAAACCGGGAGTGCCTGCTCTCGGCTCCCCGCAAGAAGCTGAACCAGCTTTTGAAAGCACTGGAAACGTCGAAGGTAACCTGACAGAGCCAGCGCCCGGTTTTCTAGGCCGCGGGGCAGGTGACACACTGGGGCAGGTGAGGACTAGCCACACCCGCGGACCCCACCTCCACCAGCCGGAGTCTGGTGCGGGGTGGCCAGCAGGGAGCAGGACTCCAGGGCTGTCCTGTCAAGCTCCGGGCGCTGCTCCTTCCTCTCCTCTGGCCTGGGGCTGTCTTCTTGGACCTCTGGAGACTGTCCCTGCAACTTCACCAGCTTCCTCCTCTCCTTACTGGCAATTTGGCCATCTTCCCCAGACCAGGCCTTGGCCCACTCCTCGTGTTACTGCGTTTGGCTGTGCCGGGGGTGGGGCCTCAGACCTCAGGTCGCCACAGCCACGGATGGGAAGGGATGGGCCTGTCTTGACCTGACTGCAGCTTCAGGGTCTTCCCAAGCTTCACGTGCAGGCAGGAGTAGGTAGGCCGTGACCTTGTGGGTGGACAGGCTGGCGCTGACTGCCCTAGTGTAGAGCGGCAGCGCCTGTGGCCCAGGGGTCCACCCCTCAGGCTTTCCTAACGGGCACACGAGGTGTTTGTGGTGTTACCACCCCCCCGCTGTGACACATCTGAGCACAAGGCCCTGCTGTCTGGGGCTCAGGGTGGGGAGTCTTGGTTGTTGGGGTAGAGCCACCCTTGCCCTCTGCAGGCTGACCCCATTCAACCGGTGGGCTTCATTGCAGGGGCCTTGAGCTGGGGGAGTTGCCTCCCTGACCTTGGGGAAGGAGAAGAGACTGTGGATCCCCTCTGGCGGTGCTGCTTTGGGGGGCCTGGGGGCCAGGCGTGTGGCCCTCAGCGCTTTTGTTTCACAGGCGGATTTGGAGTCGATTTTGCAGTCCCTGGAGGGGAAGCCTCACGCCTTCAGTGAAGCCACCGCACTGCGAGCCTTCAGCCTCCATTGCCGGCTGAGCATTCACCTTCAGCACAAGGTGCACAGGGCCAGCTGAGCATCCTCCCAGGGCTTGGGGTGCACCGGGCTGGATGAGCAGGCGCCTCACCCGCTGCGCGCGGCCCCCCCCCCCCCATCTCTACAGTTCTGCTCCGAGGGGAATGTGTACCTGTCCACTCTGGAAGACACGGGCTTCTGGTTAGAGAACAAAATCTTGCCATTTATCCAAGACCAAGACGAAGAGTACCTGAAGCTCCATAGAGTCGTTTACCAGCAAACCATCCAGGTTAGAGTCCTAAGACGCGGGAACTTCCTCTTCACCGAGCCTGTGCCGGGCTGCCAGGCTGTAGTTTCTATTCTGAAGTTGGCATTTCGACCTCGTGTTACTGCTTTAAGTGCTTACACCGTATATGGCATTTAAATATCTGGAATATATAAACTGGAGACTTTAGTGTAACCTCCATACTGTCGGTAGTAGGTGTTGGTCATGTTTTTAGAGTCAGGTGGCTCGTGGCGTTGCTAGGGGCCTTACAGAAACAAAAGCGCCTGTGAAGCCCCCATATAACGTCTCTGCAAATACCTGCTTTTTGAGCTGCCTAGAAGCACGTCAGCTCATGGTTCTCTTTTCTTTGCCCTCCTGCGGCCTTTGGTGGTGAGTGACATCAGAAGTCTGTCTCTTGCAGACCTACCTGACCGTGTGTAAAGATGTGATTATGGTCGGCCTCGGCGATTACAGGTTCCAGATCCAGCTTTTACAGCGGAGTCTTGGGGTCATGCAGACAGGTACGCTCTGCCCGGAAAGGGCTCCTCCAGCTGTTGGGCCAGAGCCAGCCTCCTCCTCCTGCCCCGTTGGTCAGGGGGTGACACATACGGAAACCAGTTCCTATCCAGAGTGGGCTGATGCGGTGGGGAGTTGAAGGGTGTTTCTGGTGTCACGTGGGTCGGGTTGGGTTTTGTCCATCCTGCAGCCACTCCCTCTGGCTTGCTGGGCTGCAGGCCCGCCAGTGTGTGACAGCCCCAGCCTCCGGTGTCCTGAACAGAGCCCACAGCAGCCTCTCCTGGCTCTGCTCAGGCCACAAGGTAGGGTGATGCCCAAGTTTGTTGGGGAGGGCAAGAGCCCGGTGTGCTCGCTTGCTGTGCGCTAGATGCTGAGGGGAAGTCGGCCTCCTCTGGGTGGCCTTCGAAGCAGAGCCCGTCCCCAGAGCGAGACCCGGTGATGTCTGAGCCATCCTATGAGGGGTCCCAGCCAGAGAAGTGGGTGGGGTCCTGGGGGTTTGCTAGCAGCACCCCGCTGTGGTTGAGTGACTACCAGAAGCTGCAGATCGCTGGCTGTGACATGTCTGGGCTGTAGACCCTGTGCTGGTTTTTTCCTGAGATCTATAGGGATTTACTTATTTCTTTAAGTCCAGATATGTACTAGCAGAGATAGAAAATTATATTTTCAGTAGATTCAAAATTAAAATTTGAAAATTAGATTTGTTGCGTCGAGTCAAGTTTATGGTCCATGGCCTGCAATGTCGTCACGTGGGCGTCCTCGCACCCCTCCTGGCCCTCACACGGGGCTTGCGTTGGGGCTGGCTGCGGCCCTAGGCTGCCGGCGTCCCTCCCTCAGACTCGGCCGCCCGCTGTTTGGGTGAAATGTGCAAGTTAAAGGCTCGTGTTAAGTGGAACAGACAGTGTGTTAAAGTCTGTTTTTTTTTTAATCCTTTATAACTATTGTGAAAATAGCACTTTAAAATTAAGTTTAATGATCGAGACATTAAAAATCATTTGCATATTTTTAAATTTCATTTATCGTTTAGGAATTATTTTTGCCCGAGGGCTGAATCTGTTTTTAGTATTTATAGAATGTACTTTCCTGAGGCGCTGACAGGAACTTTAGGTCTCAGCAGCCAGTTTAACTGCAGTCACCTGCACCCCAGCTGTGGGACGGCAGAGACCCCCAGCCCCCGACGCCTTCCCCCGACTCCCTGGAAGAGCCCCGCGAAGCGTTTTAATGAAAACATCACATTCTAGTGTCGCGTGTGGCGTCCTCCATGCCCAAGCGTGTGCGGCTGAGCCCCTGCCCTGAGTGCCGTATCCGCTCCCGCCCTCGTTCTGCAGAACCCACTCCGGCCACGACAGCCCTGGTGGGGGCGGCTGCTCCATGGTGTGGTGAGGCGGCGCAAGAGGTGACATCACAAAGGACGCAGCTAGAAAGGAGGCTTCTAGAGGGACTGTGTCTTAAGCAGAAAGCAGAGGGAGGTTGGCAGAGACCATCCCCCGCCGAGAGTGGTGGGGGCCGCTGGGCGTGGGCCAGGGCTTCCCTGGCTGAGTGTCCCCTGAAGGGACCCGGTAGTCAGGGCTGACGCCCTCGAGCTTGTGTGGCAACCACACCAGAGAAGCTTCTAGGCCCGGGTCTCACTGACGTCCTCGAATCCAGCGTTTCTTCGGCGACGCGTCCTGTTCACTCAGCAGCGGCCCATGTGCCTGCGGGGGCGCGCGCTGCCTGGCCGTGTGGGTCGGCTCGCTGCTGAGGTTTTAACTTGAGGTTTTGTCAGTAGTTAGCGTGTGGCTCTACTGCGGACCGTGTAGGGCCCTCTTGGCACCTGCCTCCTCACTGCCGTCCCCCGGAGCCCCTGCCCACTGCGCTTCTTTGTCTCCTGTGGGTCCCAGCGGTGCCCGTCCTGCAGCCCCCCACGGGACCGGCCGTGGGCTGTGCGAGTGACCAGAGCTGAGGCCGGCTTGCAGGGCAGCTGCTCTCACTCCGTGAGCAGTGATGCTGCCTCCGTCTCTGGCTCTCCTGCATCTTATGATGCATTTTATAGGCTGTGGGGCCCGGCGTGAACCCCCAGTCCACTTCCCGTGGGGAGTCACAGGAATCAGCGTGAGGTCGTAGGTCATCTTTGTCACCAGATAAGTGTTTCTTAGCTAGGGCGTTACTCTGTGCCTTTCCACGGGACAGGTCTGCCTGGCAACATGAACCCACGCGTGAGGGTCGTGCACTCCTGCCCGTGGGAGGTCTCCGTGGACACGGCACCTGCCACTCAGGCCCGTGGGGCAGTCGGGTTGTCGAGTGAGGCCGGGACACAGCGAGGCTCATGGCTCTCTGGATGGCACAACCCCCACCTCTGTCTACACAGGATGGACAGAAGCAGACATGGGAAATCGGGGCCCCCGGGTGGGTCGAGGGGTCAGGCTCCCGTGGGGCAGCTGTTCGCAGGGAAGCGGCCACTAGAGAGAAGGACAGCACACTCAATACCCCTTCCTTGGCCTGGCCTGCAGTGCCCGGCTGACCCCCGTCCTGTGTGGAGCGGGAGTCCAGGCCCTACTCTGCAGAGGGGAGGCAAGCATCTGGGCCGCGTCCAGTAGCACACGCTGGCACCTGGTGGGCACAGCCCATGTGGGGTGGTGTGGGGTGAGCTGCTGGGGTTGAGGCGGGGCTGTGTTTGAGCAGAGCAGACGTGCTCGCTTAGGCTGAAATTCAGTCACCTGGCCGGCCTGCTCTGGCTGATCGTCGACGGACTCTCCAGTCACCGTGACCCGCGGTCACGTGAAGTGTGTGGAGACTTCTCCAATCCATGCGGCTGCATAACTGGCTTTCCTGTTTTCTTTCCAGTGAAAGGATTTTTTTATGTCACGTTGCTTCTGGGCATCCTGAAGGAGGTGACTGGCAGTTCCTTGATCCAGAAGACAGATTCTGACGGAGACGTTGCAGTGCTGTTCGATACTGTCCAGAAAGTATTTCAGAAGATGCTGGAGTGCATGGCCTGGAGTTTCCGGAAGCAGCCAGAAGAAGGCCTGCGGGTACCCACTCCTTCCCCGGGGCCCCAGACGCTGGGGGCCAGCACAGAGCACGCGCGGGGAGGGGGCGCTTGCCTCCGCGGTCAGGCATGATCTTGGCCAGTGACCGTGCGTGCTCAGTTTTCCTCTTACAGCACTTCCCGAGTTAAATGCACTTTGTGAGCTCGCTGCTCTTGGCTCCATGTAGATTGTGGGGCCTTCCCCAGATGAAAGTTAGCCTCCACCCAGGGCCGCCTCTGGGGGCGGGGGCCTGAGGAGCCTCTCCCAGGAGGTGGACCCAGGCTGCCTGCGGCACCTGGCGCCCCACAGGGCCAAGTCGTGATTCAGAAATATGGACGTGCACTTGCTTCAGCCAAGATGCAGGACAGTGCTGGGGGGCTCAGCTGGGCAGCAAGTGCAGACTGCTGCCCGGCCCCCCAGCCGTGCTCATGCTCGGGGCATGTGGGTGTCTGGGTGGTGGTTTTGGCATCAGGTGTGCGCAGGCCTCTTTCTCACCAAATCTTCGCCATTGCGTCGCAGCTTCTCAGATCACGTGGCCATGCCGCCGTCTCTGTGTTCGGTGGGGCCCCGTTTTGGGTGTTCCCGTCCCTGGGGCTTTTCCTTTGCTTTGGGGAAGAGACTAGCGGGGGTCCGCCTCCAGCAGCGGTGGGCAGGCCATTCTTAGCCCTGACCGTGGCTGTCATGTTCCTGCAGCTCCTGTATTCTGTCCAGACCCCGCTTCACGAGTTCATCACCACCGTCCAGTCGTGGCACGTGGACACGCCGGTCCACAGGGGCGTGCTCTCCACACTGATCGCGGCGTCCGTGGTGGAGATCAGCCACCGACTGCGCAAGGTGAGTTGGGACGCCGCCACTGGGGGCTCCCACCCCAGGGGCACCAGTTCAGCAGCACAGAGTCCTGCTGTGCGGCCCCGTGAGCCTCCAACACAAGCACCTGATCCACCAAAGAACGAGAAACAGCAGGCGGTGAACCAGGACACACACACCGGAGGGTCGCGCTTCGGCCACGTGTGCCAACGCTGCAGTAAAATCACATAGACGAAAATGTCAAATGGATTAGCGGCCTGAGTCGGGGGTGACAGTCCCAGGCAGAGCACGGGGAGGCTGTTGGGTTTCTGTCTGGGTGTGTCTCCACAAAGTGCCCATGGTTGGCAAGCTTGGGGCAGGTGCTGGTGCTGGGCCGTGGCCTGCGGGCAGGCAGCTCCCTGCTGTAGCTGCCATGGGTGGAAGACGAAAGCTTGTCCCAGAGCAGGGTTCTGGCAAGGCCCCCCAAGACCTGCCTGAGCAGGCAGGGCCCCCCACACCCTGGGATTCAACCTGCCAGGCCAAGTGCAACCGTTGGGCGGAGTGGCACGCACTGGGCAGCTGGGTCGTGGGTGGTGTTGGGAAGCTGCTTTTGTTGTCCCATCTGGCAGTGCCCAGGGCCCCCCAGCAAGGCACTGTCCCATGTGCAGTGTCAGTGGTGCCAGTGGGGAGGAGGCCTGGCTGGGCACACGAGCAGCGGGCGGGGCTCTGATGAGCGCTCGTCTGTCACCACGATGCCGGAGCCCTGACTGTGGCAGCAGATTCTTCACAGCAGCTCATGGGAGTCGCTTCCACGTTTCCAGAAGGCCTTTCTCGAGGGTCGAGGAGGCGCCGGGACATTGGCCTCTCAGTGACGGCTGACCTGAGCCCTCGTTGCAGGTTTCTGATGTCGACGAGCTGTCTCCCCCGGATGCCCTGGCGGGGCTGCCGCCGTTCTCCAGGTGCCTGGTGGGCATCGTCATCAAGTCCCCGAGTGTGGTCAGGTGAGCGCTTCTCCCGCCGCCGCCAGCCCCTTGCCTGCAGGCGCTCAGCCGCCTCGGCCGTGCCCTTTCGCTCAAAGTTGGTCCAGAGTGTTTTTTCTGAGAAAAGCATTTTGCAGACTTTGCCCATTTTATCAGCTGTTACAAGTGTTTACCTTAAACGTTCACAAAGGTAAACTCTACCTTGTGTCAGAGTCATCCCGTGGCTGACGGTGAGGCTTCCGTGTGGGGCTTCGGCTGGAGACCGGCAGGGGCGCCTGGAGCACGCGTGTCCCTGTGTGGTGGGCGCCCAGCAGCCGCTGCGCTGGGGGCCTGGTCCGCGGAGGCTGGTTTGCTGATTTCCAGACCCCGGGAACTTACCGGCAGATAAATTCAGTGACTGTGAAAAATCACCATCCGTAGTGGCCGCGGGTTTAGTCGCGTGAAGTCCTCTGGCGTCTGCTGGGCGCAGAGCTCCCGACTGGGCGCCCTGCCTCCTGGCAGCGTCGGGACTGACGTCCCACTTCGCGTGGAGCGTGCATTTCCTGGAAACCAGGCTCCGTGGTGCTTGATGAATTTTCTGGCTGTCTTTCTAGAAAACAGGAGGAGATCTGCTATGGGGTAATCCAAGACCTTGGTTGATTTTTTGCAGGTCATTTCTGGATGAGTTGAAGGCGTGTGTGACTTCGGACGACATTGAAGGCATTGTGTGTCTGACGGCTGTTGTGCATATTATTTTGGTTGTCAATAAAGGTGGGTTGAATTTTCCCTCCCGCCATCTAGGTGTCACCCCTGGAGCTGGGTTGGGGTGGGGGACTCAGCCCCTGCTCGAAAGGCTCTCAGCTCCTCCGCCGGCTGCCTCGTGTGTCTTCCCGCCACGCCCTGCGTCCCCCCCTCCCCCGCGGGGCCGCCGGCTGCCCCCTCTGTGCCTGGGAAAGGAATTCCTGCCGTTTTGTGACTGTTACCTGACTTTACAACCTGCTTTTGCTTTTGCCAATGATGGTGCTGTGCTTTGGCGCTAACAGTGACAGTGTCTACAGCTCCCTTAACCCTCAGCCTTGCCTGTTCTGAGCACCCCAGTTGTGAACCACCCCAGTTGAAATAGTGCTGGAAAACCCATTGGGAGCCGCTTCAGCGTATTGGGACAGCGTGCAGGGCCCCTGCTGTCAAGTTTGTGTCTGTCTTGCTTGTGTTAGCCGATGCTGGCAGCGCTTTCTAAGGTGGGACACTCAGAACACGCCTCACCGACACGCTTCCCCGGCTTGGGTGCTGGTGTTCGTCATGGTGCTCCGGGATGCCTCTGACTCAGGCTGGGGTCACGAGGCCCCTCCCCCAGACTCCCCCCCACAGTGAAATCAGTCCACGAAGGCCTCCCGGGGGCACCCACGCCAGGGTGTGAGGGCGAGGGTGGGCACCTAGCACTGGGCAGGTGGAAGTTGTTGTTTCTCACGGTGATGTGAACACCCTGGGCTCCTGCCCCTGGGCTGCCTCAGGGCCTTCCCGGACCCGCTTGGACCTGGCCAGTCTGTGCGGCTGCCGCAGGCCACCGGGCAGCCCGGGGGTGGAGCTGGGTCTGACTGAAGCGCCACAGGCGCGCAGGTCGCTGCTGTATGGGGTGTGAACATGCTGTCGGGACGCCCCACAGGTAAACATCGGAGCTCGAAAGTGAAGGACGTGGCAGCCGCTGTTCACAGGAAGCTGAAGACATTCATGGAAATCACGTTGGAAGAAGACAGCGTGGAGAGGTAAAGCTGCCCTGGTACAGCCAGTGGGAAGCCCCAGCTGCTCCCGGGCGTGGTCGGTCCACCCTCGTCTGTGGGGACAGGACTGCGTCTGCAGGCAGAGCCCCTCGAGCAGACGTCTCACTTCCTGCCTCTGTCCCCAGCAGCAAGACGGTCATTTACAAAGCTGCTGGGGAGTCCGGGCAGACGACACACGTCTTCCATAGCGCACACGTGTCTGGGCGTTCCTGAAATACAAGTGCCCTGTCCTGGGCCGCCCCACTGGGGTGAGAGCCCCGAGCCCAAGGTAGTGGGTATCCTGCCGGCCTTCCTGGCGGCACGGCTATGGGTGCTGCTCGGTGGACCTCCACGGCAGGCGAGCCGCTGCTGACTCCGCTCGTTCTGCAGAGTCTGTGGAAGGTGGCTTTGGACGCAGACCCGCCGTGCAGCAGCGTCTCCTGCTGTTCTAGAACTTCGGGAGCCGTTGCGGGGCTCTGGGGCTCGTGCGAGGTGTGCCTGGGGCACTGGCCGCTGCCCACAGCCCCTGCTCCTTGGAGGAGTTTCTCGGAACCGTGTCGGCTTCTTCCCGCCTCCCCGGGCCGTGTCCCTCTCGTCTGCTCTGACCGCGCTGGCCGGCGCCCAGGTCGTCAGGAGGCCTGCTGCGACTCCACCCCATCTGGGCCCCACGAGAGACCTTCCTGTCTTGCGTCCTGCATGGCGCTAGCTGTGGGGCATCAGGTCACGAGCTCCCCTCTGCTCAGCGTGCTGGGCTCTGTCACCACCAGTGGATGCTGGATTTTGGTAAAAAGCGGCTTCTCCGCGCGCAGGTGGCTGTCGGCTGACTCATGTTGAGTGTTGACCCACCCTTCGTGCCCGGGGAGTTCCGCGTGGTGGCGTGTGATGCTTTTCACTCCTCGCGGGGCTGAATCTGCTGACACTTGGTTGAGAAGGTCCGCCCGGGCTGGGAGAGCGGACAGCGTCTGGAGCTTTCTTTTCTGTCTGTCCACGTGGGTGTGGCCGAGTCCCTCCGCCTCCGGCCTCTGAGGGGGAGTATGGGGGTTGGCTTCCCTTTTCCCTAAAATCTCAGTCCAGCAAGCGGTGATGCCTCCGCTCAGTGTGATCCGTGCCGTGGACGCGGCTGCCCGCCCCGCCGTCTCTGCTGCGGGGGCCTCCAGGGGTCCGTTTTCCCCCAGGAGGTCAGAGCCATGGCCGGCGTGTTCGGAGCCCCTTCACTGCCCTGTGAGGGGCCCGGTCTGCGGGATGCCCCTCGTCCGCTGCGGGACCCAGGGTGTGTCCCCGCCCCCCTCCCTGCTCCCCACGCCTGACTAGAGACAGATTTTATTGATCTTTTCAATTTTCGGTTTCACTGATTTTTTCTTTATTGATTTCCCATTTTCAATTTTTAAAAAGTTTCTGCTCTAATTTTTAAAACTCTCTTTATCTGCTTTGGATTTACTTTGTTCTCTTCTGTTTTCCTAAGCTGGAAGTTTAGTGACTTTGGGGCTTTCTTCTTGCCGATGTATAGTCAGTGCTGCGAGTTACCCCCACGCTCTGCTGCTGCTGCATCCCAAGAATTTTGATAATGTGTGTTTTCATTTTCATTTAGCACAAAATATTTTAAAATTTCTCCACACACAGTCGCTTAAATGTCTCTTTGACTGTGAGTTATTTAAGCGACTGTGTGTTGTTTAATCTCCACACACTTTGGAATGTTCTGGCTCTCTCTGTTACTGGTTCTGGTTTTCACTGCCCTGGGGTCTGAGGGCAGGCACTACGATTTCAGTCCTTTACGTCTGTTGAAGCCCCGGTAAGGCCTTCTTGGTCAGTGCTGTGCGTGAGCTGGAGGGAATGGGACTCTGCCCTGGGTCAAGCAGGCGTCGCGAGTCCCACTGGCGTGTGCTGTGCTTTCTCTCTGCGACCACCTCCCCGTCGAGCCGGAGGCCTTGCTCCTTGTGTGTCTGCGCTGCCGACGTTAGAGGCTGGTGGCTGAGACCGGCTGTCACTGGAGAAGAGGCCCTTCTCCCTCTAGGGGTGTGCTTCCCCCTTCATACCCAGGCCACTCCGGGACGCTGGCTTCCAGGCAGGAGGCTGCGGCGGCCAGGGCAAGCTCCTGCGGGGCCGCTGGCGTAAGGGCTGCTGTCCATGAGGGTTCAAGCCACTTCTGAGTGACCAGAGGGCACTCCAGGCCTGAGGCCTGTCCCTGCTGGGCCTCCAGTCTTGGGGTGATTGGGCCCAACCACAGCGAAGTGGGGGGACTGCTGGAACTTCCATGCACACGAGGGTCAGGAGCTGCTGACTAGAGGGATCCTTTGGGGTCTGGTGGGGACAGTGGCCTGGGGTGCCTCTGTCTGGTGTCCTGGGGGAGCTGGCCCTACAGGAACTCGGTGTGACAACACTCCTTCCATGTGTCACATGTGGGCTAGGATCACCGCCCTGGGGTTTTTACTCTGTTCCACGTGTAAGAAATGACCGGGGCAGGTACTGATCCTCCAGTTTGGCTTGAGGCGTGTCTGGCTGCAAGCGCTTCAGACTCTTTTATGAAAACACACTCTCGGGGGCCTCCCCTGGTGGCGCAGCGGTTGAGCGCTGGGTTGCGAAGCTGCCCGCAGCCTCTGCAGCACCGGTTCGATCCCCGGCCGCCGGCGAGGGTCCCACATGGCGCACAGACCTCTCCTGCCGCCCGCTGCTCCCCTCAGCAGTGGACTTCGGTCCTTCTGCCTGTTCTGCTCCCCGCTCTGGCTCTGGTGAATTCTCTCACCCTCCCGCGCTTCTGTCTGTACCCAGTGCTTATATAAATAAATCAATTTTTCAAAAAAAAAGAAAAGAAAACACACTCTCAGGTAATTTGGGCAGCTAATTGTTTCTTTCATCGCGTTTCAGGTTTCTCTATGAGTCATCGTCAAGGACCCTGGGAGAGTTCCTGAGCTCATAGCCAAGCCGCAGCCCTGGCCAGGTGGGAGAGAACAAGGACGCACAGAGGCCACGTGGAGTCGCTCGCTGTTGACGTGAGCGGCAACGGCCACATAATGGGGTGTGCAGGTGGGAGGGTCTTTTGGGGGTGTGAGCGGGCAGCTCTGAGGTTCTACACTTTGGCCCGGTGGTCACGTCCTTGACACAAAGGGCTCCAGGTCAGCGGCACAGAAGCCACGGGGCAAAGCCTTTCGCAAGACACCGGGTTGTTTCGGAGACACCTGTTTGTGCACAGTGTTGCCTGCCTGCCTGACGCTCGCAGGCATGCTCTGCATAAAGACAGGGTGAGCTCCCTCTTCGTCCTTTCACCACGCGGGGGTTCCGAGGCAGTGCAGGCACAGAGCCCGCTCACCTGTGTCCTTGCGCTCAAGCTGTCGCTGGGCTGTGGCCCACCCCCCGCAGGCTACCAGCAGCCTGTCAGCTCGGCCCTAAGGGGCGGTGGGCACAGAGGCCTGTGTCCTGGGCACCCACTGCAAGGGCAGGCATCAGCCCAGGTGCATTCTGTCTTCTGCCCCAAGCAAAAAAGTATAGAAACCCCAATTTTCCCATGCTTCTGTCACTAAGAAGGCACAGAAAAGGACCAAACACTTACTGGAGCTTTGAGCACTAGGGTGGGTTTGCTGAGGGCTGGGGCGGGGGTGTGAGCATGCAGCTTTGTGGGCATCGTCTGTCTAAGCCAGGTTCTGTGTTTGTGGACGAGGCTGGCACAGGCGATAGCTCTGCCGTCGGTAGCGCAGCCACTGGGAAGCACCTATGCCAGTGTAGTAAGACTGAAGATGAGCTGGTTCCGTGATGGGAGCCACTCCTCTCCCTCTGCGACTCCTTCTCTCTGACCCGGGAATACAATCCGACGCGTCAGTGGGTGCCTTCTCGCCTGCACAGACGCACTTGCACCTGGGTGTGACCACGCACCTAAGTGCTTCGCCTGCAGCGGTCGTGAACGTGCCCAGCACTTCCCGGACGTGCTGTGTCTGCACTGATGTTCTGCCTGGACGCGGCTGTGCCGACTGGCTGCCACTTCGGATTGTGGAGTAGGGCCGTGCCCTCAGGGGGCGCAGCTTTGAGCCCGTCCACACACCGTTGTTCAAGCCCCGGCGCCTCTGAGGCACGCGGACAACCAGGCTTAGCCCTCGGTCGAGAGCCACACTTTGCAGCGGTCTGAGGGCTGAGGCCCTGCAGCCTGGTCCTGACGTTCCACTTAGCAGTTCCACTCACCATGCTGCTCCCGCTTCCACACCAGCGTCCCTTGCACCAGGCTACCCGGAGGGCCCAGGCGCTGCCCATCTCCCTCGTGAGCCTCTGTCACGGAGACAGTCTTCCCGCCCTTGAGACTCGGTGGAGAGATCCGAGGAAAAGCGGGGTCAGATGCACTGGTGGCCAGAGGCACTGCCAGCGCCGGGGTTCCCCTGGTCTGCTGACGCAAAGTGGGGCTGAATTGCGCCTCTGAGTACAGGCGGCTGATAGGTGACCATGGCCCTCGCGGGGGCACGTCAGCCCTCCATCCGTGGGGCGTTACGATGCTTGAACAAAGTTGCTATGAGCATCAGGGGTACAGGCCTTTGGGGGGTGTTTTGGGGGGTGGTTTTCTTGAAGTGGAGTTGATGTGTGGTATGTTTCACTTCTTCACGAGCTCCCGGCCCTTCCAGAGGAGTCACAGCAGAATGTGCTTCCCGAGCCCGCTGCGTCCGCCCCGGGCGCGCACTGCAGTGTCTGACTGCGCTCCTTGGGCGCGCGCGGTAGCTGGTGCCACGGGACGTGCGTGTGGGTGAAACGCCGAATCAGCTCTGGTGTGACGGTGGATGGATCTTGTGCTTGAGCGGGCGGATCCTTGTGCTGCAAACACAGCCTCTGCTTGGCCACAGCACGTGGCCTGGTTGCCTTTGAAAGAGCAGGAGTTTGAAATTTTAATGAACTGTAGTTTATACCTTTATAGTTTGTGCTTTCTGTGTCCTGTTTCAGTGCGTGTGAGAGTGAGTGTGTGTGACGCACGCTTTATCTTGGCTTGCTCAGTTACCAGTGGAGCTTGCTGCCTGCCAGTGAGAATCCTGCTCCCTTCCTCCCTGCGTCTCTTGCTCTTGGTGTTCGTCTTCCCTTTTTCTCTGCGCCTAGAAGGTCAGCTCTCCTGTTTATCTTGAGGTAATTTTTGTGTGTGGCATTTGGTAATGGTTGATTTTTGTTTTTACCATATGGATACCTAGTGGCCTCAGCACCGTTAGAATATGATTTTTTTTTTAATTGCTGGCTGGGCTCAGAACTTTATCATCCCCTTGGCTGACGGAGGCACTCTCGCCTCAGGATGCTGCCGCCCCGGCCTTCCTGCAGCTCCCTCCCCATCCGTTTCAGCTCATCCTGCCCTGTTGCTCCTCAGCTGCCACTTTCCTCCCCTCCTGCACCCAGGGCCCCGGGTCATTGTGGGGCTTGGCTCCGCAGACCGCGAGGAGCAGGGCAGAGCAGTGACCGCGCTCGGTGAGTGGAGAGACCTGCACAGGCGGCACCACCTTGTCCCTGCGGCTCACACCAGAAGCAACAGAAGATAGTGTTTTCATTAACTGTTCGGCGTATCTCACCCTTACTTCCGTCTAGATCAGCAGTTTTGCCCCCTTTGGGCAAGGGGGGGCGGGGGGTTGTTGCCATCCCCGAGTGAGGGGATGACTCTGCACTCGGACTGCACCCCAGGTGCAGGCATCGTCATGGGGAGACCCCGTTCTGGCATCTTACTCAGCCTGTAATCTGTTTTACTTCATTTTTGCATGTGGCGTGAAGTCTCGGTACCCTTTTATTCCGCCCCCTGCATGATTCCCTGACTGTTCCCGCACCCTTTGCTGGCGTTTCCCTTTCCCCACGAGAGGACCGTGCGCGCCGTCATCAGCTGTCCGCACGCGTGGGCGTGTTTCTCACCACTGACCAGTCTCCTGTGTATTTCAGAGCATAGGACACGTCCTCCCTCTGCTCCTCCCGCAGTGCCTTTGTCTCCTGTGCATGTTTAGAATGACTCGATTTCTGCAGGAGAGAAGAATGGAGGAGGTTTTGCTTGGGATTGCCTTGACTCTGTAGATGAGTTTGTGGGGAATCTGAACTTCAACAATATTGATGATGATTCTGATCCATGACCATAGTCTATATTGTAAGGAATTCTTTTTCTCTCTTGAGTATTTAAATTTTATTTTGATTTAAATTAAACATTTTTAGGAATTTCTTTAACTTCAGTAAGATATTGTTATTTTCAGAGCACAGGTTTTCCATATATTTTACCAAACGTATCCAAATATTTTTTATGTATTTTGAAGCTATTGTAAATAGTATTTTAAATAGTAGCTATTGTAAATAGTAGTATTTTTACATTTTAAATCTCTAGTTCATACTAGTATTTCGGTAGCATTGTCTTTGTTGGTTTTTACCTACTTTAAAAAACTCACTGGTGAGTTGTGGGAACCTATTGCTAGATCCTCAGGACTCTGCGACTTCCATCCTCCTCGGGACGCGCTGTCCTGCCCTCACTCCCCACCTGTGGGTGTCTCAGATTACTGGCCTCTCTGCACAGTGGAACCGGGTGGAGGGAGCGTTTCCTGTTCCCAGGGACTCCTGAGCAGGAGCATTTTGGTCCTCACTGTTGGTGCAAACTTCGGGTTGTATGTATATGCTTCTTATCAGCACAAAGTTTCTATTCTTAGTTTTCTGAGAGCTTTTGTCAGGAATTGGTATAGAATTGTATCAGATTCTCTTGATGCCTCTATTAAATATATCTGCCTCAAAAATATTGTTTCCTCATGAACAGTGTAATTGTCCTTTATTGCTCCTCTCCGGTGTGCTGTCATCATCATCATGCACTTTACTTCTACGTATGGTATTCATCCCAAGTAATCTTCATTAATTTTGCTTTAAACTGTTAACCTTTTTTTTAAAGATTTATTTATTTATACAAGAACTGGGGTACAGGCCAGAGCCAGAGCGGGGAACAGAACAGGCAGGCTGATGAAACACACTGCCGAGGGGAGCAACGGGGAGACAGGGGAGACAGGGGAGGTCTGCTGCACCATGTGGGCATCTCTCTGGCCGGCCGGGATTCGAACCCATGCTGCAGAGGCTACGGACAGCTTCACAGCGCTGCGCTCAACTGCCTGCGCCACCAGGGAGGCCCTGTTAACCCTTTTTTGAAGAATTTCAAAATACAGAAAAATTGTCCTTCCCTTTCTTGAACTTTAGCAGCCTCTGCTTTGTATCTCTGGCTCCTGCCTATAGGATTGGGATTGAGTTCCGAACTAAAAAATACAAGAGAATAATCCAAATCGGGAAAGACGTGCAACTGTCACTATTCACAGATTATATGATAGTATATATAGAAAACACTAAAGACTCCACCGAAAAGCTATTAGAAACAATAGATGTGTATATAGCAAAGTGGAAGGTTATAAAATCAACATACATAAATCTCTAGCATTTTTGTAAACAAATAATGAGAAGGAAAAAGATCAAGAAAATAATACTATTTATCGTTGCTTCGAATAGAATTTGATACCTTGGGAGTTGACCTAAGGAGGTGAAGGACCTGTACAAAGAGCTGCAAAATGTTATTAAAGGACTTAGTGACGTAAGAAAGTGGGAGGCCTTCCCCGGTGGCGCAGCGGTTGAGCTCTGGGTTGCGAAGCTGCCCGCGGCCTTTTGCGGCGCCGGTTCGATCCCCGGCTGCTCCCCGGCCACCGGAGGAGGGTCCCACATGGCGCGCAGACCTCTCCTGCCGCCCACTGCTCCCCTCAGCAGTGTACTTCGGTCCTTCTGTCTGCTCTGCTCCCCGCTCTGGCTCTGGTGAATTCTCTCACCCTCCCGCGCTTCTGACTGTACCCAGTGCTTGTATAAACAAAACAAACAAACAAATAAATAAAACATGCCTCTATAAAAAAAAAAACTGACATGTCTTTAAAAAAAAGAAAGTGGGAGGCCATCCCATGCTCGCAGATAGGGAGAATCAATATAATCAAAATGACCATGCTGTCTAAACTGATATATCTTTAACACACTCCCTGTTAAAATACCAACGATATATTTCAAAGAAATTGAACAAAAATGTTGAAGTGTGTATGAGACCATAAAACCCCTTAGCAAAAATTATCCTGAGATAAAAGTAGAGAAATGGAGGTATCATGTTACCTAACTTCAAACTTTACTATAAGCAACAGTACTAAAAGCAATATAGGACCGGCGCAAAAGTGGGTCCATAGATCAGTGGAACAGAATCGGAAGTTCAGAGATGACTCCACTCACACGTCAGTACCTAACTGTACAGACATACGATGGTACAAGGGGAGTAAGCAAATGGTGCTGGGAAGCATGGAAAGCCATACGTAAAAAGCATGAAGTTGGATCACTTTCTAACACCACACACACAAGTAAATTCCAACTGGATTAAAGATTTAGCTAGGGAGGCCCACAACAATAAAATACATGCACATGACAACATTGGTGGTATGTTCCACGCCATCAACAGTGAGGACGTGTGTGGAGACAACCCCTGTGGCAAGGGAGATTAAGCAGTTGGGATTATCTCAAGTTAAACAGCTTTTCACAGGGAAAGAAAGGTTAAAGACACCCTACTGAATGGAAGAAACTTGTCGCACGATACGTAACAGGCAAGGGGTTAATAGCCCAAGATTTGTGAAAAATTCAACTAGTAAATGGTCAGCAAATATGAACGCACAGTTCACCAAAGAGACTATGCAGAAGACCAGTAGACGCGAAAAAAAAAAGTGCAGTATCATTCCCGATTAATAGACAGTGACTACAAAAACTAGTGGACATTAATAAACAGAACTCGGGTTCAGAGGGAGGGGGGAGAAAGGGACGTGGGAACAGAAGGGATGGTGAGGCAGGTAAAAATTTCTAAATGGAAGAACAATGCAGTAGAAGGGGTCATCCACAGATAGACTATCAGGTAGAATCACTAGACAGAATCCAAACAGAAAAATGAATCATAGAAAACTTTCTAAGATGATTCGTGGATTTCTCAATAGAAGTCTTACAGGCAAGAAGGGAATGACATATTTGAAATGCTGAAAGAAAAAAAATTTCAACCAAGAAATTCTATCCTGCTAGACTATCACTGAGAAAGGAGGGATAAAAATTTTTACAACCGAAGATTGATGTATCACCACTAAATTGGCCTTGCAAGAAATAATAAGATGTATCACCACTAAATTGGCCTTGCTTCCCCGGTGGCGCAGCGGTTGAGCGCTGGGTTGTGAAGCTGCCCGCAGCCTCTGCAGCACTGGTTCGATTCCCGGCTGCTCCCCGGCCACCGGAGGAGGGTCCCGCATGGCGCGCAGACCTCTCCTACCGCCCGCTGCTCCCCTCAGCAGTGTCCTTCGGTCCTTCTGCCTGCTCTGCTCCCCGCTCTGGCTCTGGGGAATTCTCTCACCCTCCCGCGCTTCTGACTGTACCCCGTGCTTGTATAAATAAATAAATCTTTAAAAAAAAAAAAAGGAAATAATAATGGGACTCAATCAGAAGGTATTCCACCTAGAAGATACAAGAAACCAAAAACACACAATGGGCGGGTCAGGGGTGAGGGAGAGAATAAAAATACCAGTTGAATGAGCTCAAGAATAATCTGCCTAATAGGTAAGAAGCATAGAACCTTACACATAAGCCTCATGGTAACCTCCAAACAAAAATCCATAGAAGTAACAAATTGAGATGAGGACTCAACAGAAAAGGAGGTTGTTGAAGTACAAAAGAAGAGTATAAGGACAAATACACACTACAAACACACCCATAACAAATAGTACAATGGAAATACTTAATTTTCAATAATTAACAAAATGTTAATGGTCTGAACTCACCAGTCAAAAAAAGGTAGAGTGACAATTGGTCAAAAAACAAAAATCTATTATCTACAGGAAAATCATGTAACTATTAAAGATAATAGTCTCAGAATAAATAGTTGGAAGACAATCTTACAAGCAAATGGTAACCAAGGCAGGCACTTAGATAAAATAAGCTTCCAGCTAAAAAAAGTAATAGGAGACAGAGTCAAGTGTTATATGATTATGGGCTTAATACCCCCAAAAGATATAGCTTATTAATATATAATACCTGTGCACCAAATGGTGGAGCATCAAAATACATAAACAATTACTAATAAAACTTAAGAATGACATTGACAGCACAAGAGTGGGAGATTTTTACGCCCCCCAAAAGAAACCATGTACAAACCAATAACCTCAAATGACGAGCTGGACCAGATGGGCATCATAGATATTTGCAGAACATTCCACCCCCAAACAGCAGAATTTACATTTTTCTCAAGTGCACATGGAATGTTCTCAACAAAACAATTGTCAACAATTTTATGAAGATTGAAATGCCAAGTAGTTTGTCTGATCACAACTCTAAATCAATCACAAAATGAAAGTTGGGGAAAAGTCTCCAAATATGTGGAGACTAAGTAATGTGCTTCTGAAAAATTATTGGGTCAGTAAGGAAATTAAAGCAAAAATAAAAATACTTGTAGATAAACGAAAACAAAGGTGAGTTATCAAAACCTATAGGACACAGCAAAAGTAGTACTAAGGGGGAAGTTAATGGCAATACAAATTTACATCAAGAAACAAGAAAGGGGGCCTCCCCTGTGGCGCAGCGGTTGAGCGCTGGGCTGCGAGGCTGCCCGCAGCCTCTGCAGCGCCAGTTGGATCCCCAGCCGCCGGGCGAGAGTCCCACATGGCGCGCAGACCTCTCCTGCCGCCCGCTGCTCCCCTCAGCAGTGTCCTTCGGTCCTTCTGCCTGCTCTGCTCCCCGCTCTGGCTCTGGTGAATCCTCCCACCCTCCCGCGCTTCTGACTGTGCCCAGTGCTTGTGTACATAAATAAATACATCTTTAAAAAAAAAATAGCACTGGGATTTTGGGTGTGTGTGTTGCCTTAACCACCCTTAAGACGGCCGCCTTAACCGCTCTCTGCTGCCCATCCACGAACAAGGAAAGCGTCCATCGCTGTTGCGTTGTCTCGGGGACGGAGCTGTCCTTGCGCAGGCCTTCCACTTCTGCGTTAAATTTATTCCTAGGTGCTTACTCAGCTCTCGGTTCCTTGCTTTTGTATTCTGTTTGGTTTCTGTCATTTATTTCAGCTCCGGTTTTTATTGTTTCCTTCCTTCTACTTTCTGGTGTCAGTTGCCTTTCAGCTTTGCAGAGGTATAATGCGAATTAGCACGTTTTTCTTCAAAGATTTACTCATTTTATTTGTGCATACAAGAACTGGGGTGCAGGCCAGAGGTGTTGGGGGGGGACAGGATTCCCCAGAGACAGAGTGGGGAACAGAACAGGCGGATCCACTGAAACACACTGCTGAGGGGAGCAGCGGGGAGACAACCCAGCGCTCAACCGCTGCGCCACCGGGGAGGCCCCACCAGTGCTATTTTTTTAATGAAAAAGAAAAGTGTCGAAAATTTATGGAACCGCAAAGGACCTCAAAGAACTAAAGCAATCTTGAGGGAAAAAGCAACACGAAGGCGTAGCGTTAGACTTCAGGGTCTGCCGCAGAGTGGCCGTGGGTGGCAGCGCGTACTGGGGTAGCCGCGCGGGCCGGTGAATGAAGTCGTGCCCAGAGCTCACGAGCCCCCGCGGGCGGCACTTTTCAGTCTGAGGCAAAGGAGTCGTGACCGGACCACGGAGGAAACCTTTTGAACAAATGGCGTTGGGCAAACTGGGCGGCCACTTGCGAAAGAATGAAATTGGCCCATTCTTTGCTCCACACACGAAAATAAAAACGGATTAAAGAGGATGTAAGATCTGAAAATAAAACACATAAAAGAAAACAGGCAGCGTGTTGGGCGCCCCAGCACCGGAGCGCCCCCCGGGGGTCCGCCAGCGCCGCAAGGGAAATGAAAGCAAAC